CCGATCAAGGGGAGCCTGAGAGCTACCAAGAAGCAATTGAGCACACAAAGAAAGATGATTAGAAAAAGGCAATGGAAGAGGAGATGAATTCCTTACTTGAAAATCACACTTATGATTTAGTGAAGTTGCCTAAGGGGAGGAAAATTCTGAAAAATAAGTGCGTTTTCAAATTGAAGAATGATGGCAAGAATCTGAGGTACAAAGCACGTCTTGTTGTGAAACGTTTTGGGCAAAAGAAATGTATTGACTTTGATGAGATTTTCTCACCGGTTGTTAAGATGTCTTCTATTCAGGTTGTACTTGGCATGACTGCAAGTATGAACCTTGAAGTTGAACAATTTGATGTGAAGACCGCATTTCTTCATGGTGATCTTGAAGAAGAAATTTACATGGAGCAACCGGAAGGTTTTGTGAAAAAAGGGAAAGAGAAATTTGTTTGCAAATTGAAAGAAATTTACATGGAGCAACCGGAAGGATTTGTGGAAAAAGGAAAAGAGAAATTTGTTTGCAAATTGAAGAAAAGTTTGTATGGTCTCAAGCAAGCCCCGCGGCAATGGTACAAAAAATTTGACTCTTTCATGATGAATAATGGTTTTTCTAAAACCACTTCGGACCATTGTGTGTTTGTGAAAAATTTTCCAGATGGTAAATTTATTATTCTTTTGCTTTATGTTGATGACATGTTAATTGTGGGTCAAGATTCTACCATTATTAACAAGTTGAAGTTAGAGTTGAGTAAATCTTTTGCTATGAAAGATTTGGGACCGGCAAAGCAAATACTTGGTATGAAAATTGTTCGTGATCGCAAAGAGGGGCTAATTTGGTTGTCTCAAGAAAGCTATATTGAGAAAGTTCTTGAGAGATTCAACATGAATAAAGCAAATCCGGTTGGTTGTCCACTTGTGAGTCACTTCAAGCTTAGTTCGAACCAATGTCCTACAAGTGAGAAAGATAAGGAAGAGATGTTGAAAGTTCCTTATTTTTCAGCAGTTGGTTCTTTGATGTACGCCATGGTTTGTATAAGGCCGGATATTGCTCATGCCGTTGGTGTAGTGAGTCGTTTTCTCTCTAATCTGGGTAAAGAACATTGGGCAGCGGTAAAATAGATTCTAAGACATCTTCGAGGGACTTCGAAGGTGTGTTTGTGTTTTGGGGATGGTAAGCCGATACTTGTTGGGTTCACAGATTCTGACATGGCCGGTGATGTTGATTCTAGGAAATCTACTTCGTGGTATTTGATGACTTTTGCAGGGGGAGCTGTGGCATGGCAATCTAAATTACAAAAATGTGTTGCTCTCTCAACTATCGAAGCTGAAATTATTGCCATTATGGAAGCTTATAAAGAAGAGTTATGGTTGAAGAAATTTTTGCAAGAGTTGGGTTTGAAGCAAGAAAGATATGTGTTTTATTGTGATAGTCAAAGTGCTATTCACTTGAGTAAAAATTCTACTTTTCATTCGAGATTGAAACACATTGATGTGAGATATCATTGGATTCATGATGTGTTAGATTCGAAATTGTTACAACTCGAAAAGGTTCACACAGATGATAATACTTCAGATATGTTGACAAAGACTTTGTCGAGAGACAAACAGTTGAAGTGTCGAACTTTGGCGGGTATGGTTGATGTCTCCACCTAGTCGATAGGGAGAGAATTGTTGGAGTATATCTCCTTATTGGAGTTTGAGACCCAATTGGTTTGTTAAAGAATTTTAATTTGGTTTGGTTTAAATATAATATATTTTTATTATATCTAATTTGGGAGACCCAATTTAGTTTGGTAACAACTAGGGTTTTGATATAATAAGCCCAAGATTTAATATATATATATATATATATTGTTCCGTAGAGTGGCGATGGGAAAAAAAGATCAATCTAGTGATATGTTTTATGGATCAAAAAGGTGTGCTTGTTGCTGATGTCACTTGCGTTGGTTTGTGTGTTTGTATTGCTTGGGCAAACAAGTAACAGTGTAGTTCTGCTTCGTTTTCGGTGCTGATTTGGGTCTATTATTTTGGGTCTTCTACAACTTTGGTTCTGAAGATTTAAGTTCATCTATTTGGTGAGATCTTTCCTCTTATTTATTTGTGATTATTTAGAATTCACCTAAAGGTAATTTTGTGAGACCATTCGTGTCTCGTTTGTAATCGTTTGGAAACTATTTCGTTGATAATGGAATTGGATTTCGATCCCGTGGATATATCTCACATTGAGAAAATCACGTAAAAATTCTTATATTACTTTTAATTTAATTTTTTTATATTAATTTTTTATTTTTATTAATTGATTTACTTGTGAAAAAACACATATTTTCGCTAAGAGAGACCTCTCTCGCCAGATTGTCAGCACACTCGTTCACCTCTCGCAGCACAAAACCAATCTTGCAACGCCAATTTCTAGTAGGCAGCTCTTTAATTTGCCGTCTAATTCCGGCTTGCGGCTGATTGTCATTAAAGTTACTTATCAGTTGCACACTCTCAAGAGAATCTGATTCAAGCAGCACAAATTTGTAGCCTTCAATCCCCCCCCTCTCTCGCCAGATTGTCAGCACACTCGTTCACCTCTCGCAGCACAAAACCAATCTTGCAACGCCAATTTCTAGTAGGCAGCTCTTTAATTTGCCGTCTAATTCCGGCTTGCGGCTGATTGTCATTAAAGTTACTTATCAGTTGCACACTCTCAAGAGAATCTGATTCAAGCAGCACAAATTTGTAGCCTTCAATCGTCAACGTATAAGAATGTTATCAATTTAAACTTAATTATTCAAAAATTATTTAGAATTATCATCTTATGATTTCAATTTATTTTACTTATAAATCTCATATTACACAAATTTAAATTCCATCACACAATCACCAATTCAAATTTTTTTGGATAATTTTGTTCAGATTAGCAAACTTTTTCATCCCAGTAAGGTTCCTATTCCTATTCCTTAGGCGTTCACGGTTCGGTTGCAGCCAAGAAATCTCCAATCCGTCATTTGTTTGTCAGATTGGCAGATTGGAAAAAATCAATTTGTATTCGTCTGTCGGATTAACGGATGTGGATTAAGTGGATTGGCAGATGGATGCGAATTGGTTTAGCGGTTTAAACTTTTATAAATTTTAAACATAATACAACAATTTGTTAATATTTTTTTTTAGATAACAATCAAACCCAACAAAACCAAAAGATTATCAAGTAAATTGTCAAATATAAATAATAAATACATATAAGAAAATCATGCATTATCAAAGCTATTTGATTATTTATTTTTATTAAAAAATATTTAATTAATTTTTTTTAAAAAAATGACAAATTAAGTCTTATATTTTTCACACAAAAATACTAAATATCAACACTTATTTTTTGACAAAAGAATTTTCAAATTGAAAATACAACAGAATATCTAAACTATTTTTCAATTGAAAATACAAACAGAATATCTAAACAAATTGAAAACACAAAGTCTTACAAATTACAAGAGGTGCTCGCAATTTAGCGATTCGGTTGCGGTTAAAGGAGCCTCAAATTTACCATCAGTCCAAAACTAGACAGATTAAAAAAAAATCAATCTGTAACTGTCCATTTATCATCACACATCTATCTAAAATGTAACGAATCAAATTAATTCAATCAATTTAAACAAATCAAAATATCGGTTACCCAACCAGACTATTCCCTGTCATCCAAACACCATATTGCGGTAAGGTTCTTCAGTAGGTGTGGGTGTTCGGGCTTACTTTTTTGTAATTTTATTTATTTATTTATTATTTTTCTAAAGTCTACCTGATAAGACAAATCAAAACATAATTTTTTTAAAAAAGTCTAAAAAGACAAAAATTAAAGCTTTATTTAGTTTAATTTTTCAAAACTTATGTTTAGAAGGATTTTTGTTTGTCTTTACTGATTAATTTTTTTTTCTTCATATTTTGACATATATATATATATTTTTTTTGTACATTTTACATACATCAAGATTAGATGCATTAAAAAGTTACTAAAATACAAAAAATATATTCACTAACAAAAATACAAACAGATTTTTATTTGTTATTCTTTTAAAAAAATATATTTTAGTCAAATTATTTTACCATTCGGATGCATCTTGATTATATTCATTTAAAAAGTATAAAAAATTAACTCAAATATGAAAAAATAAAATTCATTAAAAAAATCTAAAAACAAATTTTGAAAAGTTAAACTAAACAGACAAGAATTTTTCAAAATTTTTTACTTTTTAAATTCGTTTACAAACCTTTTTTAAACATAATTAAAAAAAATACTAAAATCAAATTAAAATGAAAAAAAGAAAAAAATGATTTATTTAGATTATCCCAAATGGTTGGCACCAACCGAATCTTCTTTTTGGATATTCAAGCCTTGTTTTGGGTAAATTAAAAAAAGTGAAAAAGTTACTAAAAAAAATTATATTATTCAAGGATAACTTGTGAGAAAAATCATTACGGCAAAATTATTATTTTGCTCTTTGAATTTAATTATACAAAAAGTTAAAAATTCAAAAGGATAAAATTGTTATTTTGATTTTACTACAATATTTTATCACACATCTTTTCGTAAAAAATCAAAGAGTTATTTTAAACATACATCTTTTTTCTCTCTACTTTTTAATCAAAAAGTCCAAAGTACACTTATATAGCACATTCCAAACAACTACTCCGTTGTCGTTTCCCAATTTTCTTTTTGCCTAAATAAATATAAAAGAATAAAATATATCATACATATTTAGAATGAACTAAATAAATATATTTTTAAATTTTTTACAAAACATATAGAAAAAAATAGAGAAGTGATCTGACTTAAATAAACATACCAAATAACCCCTAAATAAAATGTTTCACTCAAATCATAATTATTTTATTTTTTTCTCTTAAAACTATTACATTTAAATTAATAAAAAAAATTTAAAAATTAATTTAATCAAAAAATTAAAAAATAAATCTTCAATAATGCGATTTGCGAAGTTAATTATTAGCAGCAGCATAAGGGTGAAGTCCCACACGTTACCAAACACTCTCAGTTCCTCTCTTGACTGACTCTTCTTTCTATCTGCTCTGCCCAGAGAGAGAGAGAGAGAGAGAGAGAGAGATGGAGAGAAACGAAGAAGAAAAGGAGATTGGAAGAGAAAACGGGTTATCATTACCAACAGAGAACAACAACAACAACAACAACAACAATTCATCATCATCATCAAACTCCAATGACGGTTCGATTTGTGGATTCGAATCTCTCCACCGCCTCCTCTGCGCCTCCCTCAGCCCCCAAGTTTTCCAGGTACTTCTCATCTCAATCTATCCCTAATTTGCTTTTCTTTATTTTTTTTTGGTGAATTCAATGATATTCTTTTATTTGTTTAATCAATTATGGTTGTTGAAATTGGTTTGGTGTTTAGTGTATGGTTTCAAATTTTCATATGATTTTATTGAAAAAATTTAAGAGCGTGAATCGTTATTCATTGAGAACTAAATTAATTTCTTTAGTTCATAGCTTTATAGTTATATGTGGTTAGTTTAATATAGTAATTTCATTGATCAGGCTTTTCCCATGTACTGTAAATATAATCAATCTGTAGACTCCGATTTTGTTTTTAGTGAGTCCAGTGACCCAGTGGAAGACCGTTCAGGGAGGTGGGTGGTGAACAAAATTGTTTTAGAAATTGTTTATTTGCTCTAGAAGGCTATAAAATTGATGAGATGATGGGAGGGTTTGGTAAAGAAAGTGCGGAATTTTATATAAAATTACCCAATCTGTAAGTCCAAAAATTGTTGTGAAAAATGGTCTTTTGGGAAATATTCGAAGACTTAATGGTCATCCGGGTTTGTAACAAAAGAAAAAAGTGATGGTCTGCCGCGTTTGTGGTATTCGTGGAGGGCTCTCCTTGATGAGTAACATCTCTAATTTCATATAAATTTAACGCATGTGGATTCATTCTTGACGTGCCCAACACGAGCTTGAATTTTTTTTCCAGTTCCAGTCTTTCAATTCTTTGTTCTCTCGTGCTCTTTGTATGCTTTTTTGTATAATTTTCTTGCAGTATCTGCAGAGGCTGTTTCCATTTTCTAAATTATTGTTCATGGACCGTTTTTCTGATGTTTGTATTGACACTAATCGGAATATCTTCCTGACAGTAGAAATTGTGTATTGCTTTGCAGGAAGTAAAGCGATTGCTTTTGGGACTCAATTGTGGAAGAGCAGTTGAACCCATTTCTCTCCCTGAGCCTGCCAAAGCTCTATCTTCAAAGCATGATTTTGATCTGCAGGTAGGCAATATTATCATGTATTGTCATTCAATTTAGAGATTTATGGAGATATGGAAAATTACTTTCCAACAATTAGGTGCTATGGTTTTAGGTTCTCTTTGAAGAATCAAACTGACAAATAGATTGAGTTACTCTTGGTTGCTTTCCCAAGTCGAAAGAAAAATTTGAAAAACAAATGAACTACTGTATGATACAAAGAGAGTATAGTTGTCTCATCTTGAATGCTATTTAAATATAAACAGATGATATGGTAATGTACAAGTACAACATCCATTGGCCCAAAAAATAACTGATAAAAAAATGATTATTTAGTTGTCTGTCTTGGAATGAGATATTTTTCTTATGGGGAATTGGATGTCTACCTTACAGTTATGTTTTTGTTAGTTTTTCTTCTTGGATACAGATTCCTCTGTGGGATTTTATCCTCATTTTATTCATAGTGCAATACTTTCAATCTACAAATTAACTAGTGTTATATATATATCATTTTAGAAGAAGAAAGCACCCCCTCGACTAGAAGCTTTTACAACCAGTTGAGGACTGTTAACTGTTGATTGTGTGATGGAACTCACTTGAACAAATCCATTTTGGGTGCAACTTTGAGCTTCCTAGTGGTGGTGACTAAAGGCAGAAGAATATACTCAAATGAATTTGGCTTTAGATTTGGATGTTTATTGATTTAGATGGTCTCTCTATGAAAGTGACTTTATCAGTGGCCTATTCACGAACATGTGGGGAAATATTTCAAATATGACCTTTAATGGAGTTGGTCTTTCATGTCTGAGGGAATGGGATGAAAGCTAATCCACATGGCCATAAGACAAACCAAGCTACTTGTTCTTGATTGTTATTGGCTCGGTGAATGGCTCATTTGAGATTGCTCAGATATAAAGGTCTGAGGGTTGATTGTTTTGAATTCTGTTATGCATGCTCTCAGCTAGAGCTTAGCTCAATAAGCTAATTCAAATTTCAAGGATATGTATAAAAGCTAAGGTACTTGAGTTAGGATTGAGATTGTCGGAAGGTGAAGCTTTTTAAGATTGCTCATGAGGTGAGCAACCAGAGTAATTGCTCGAACTACACGTGAAAAACTCACTTCTTAGCACAAATTAGCTCAATAAGCTAATTCAAATTTCAAGGATATGTATGAAAGCTAAGGTACTTGAGTTAGGATTGAGATTGTCTGAAGGTGAAGCTTTTTAAGATTAACCAGAGTAATTGCTCGAACTACACGTGAAAAACTCACTTCTTAGCATAACTTGGCTCATAAACAGTACTAAAATTGGATGGCATAGAAACAATAATTTTTTGAACTTTTTTGTTACCTTCGAGTTGTAATCGTCCTTTTGTTTGTACAGGAAATAGTTTGCCTTCACTGTGTAGTTTGTATTGGTGTTATTCGTATAATCGCACTTGGAAATCATGATTTCATCCCAAAATATGAGAATATTTTAACTTAGCATGCCCTTGTATCATCCTTTTTTAAGCTTCCACAGAAGCTGAGCAAAGTAAGCAGTAGCACACTTGTTGGCTACCTTCTTTGGTTGTGATTGAATTTCAAGTTCTTGATTGCTCAGGCATGTATATTCAAGCAACAAAATTTGAAATATATATAATTTAAAATCATGATGCTATTCTTATACTTGTTCCTGTTTTATTTGGCGGTTTTAAAAAGTTGGTCATCGATATATATTGTTGCAGGCATTCTCCTTTCATGCTGACAAGGAATTATTAAGAGAACCTCAAATCATCAGGGTTGGTCTTATTCAAAATTCTATTGCACTTCCAACAACTGCACCCTTTTTGGACCAAAAGAGAGCCATCTTTCAGAAATTGAGGCCCATTATTGATGCAGCAGGTGCTGCGGGAGTGAATGTTTTATGCTTGCAAGTGAGTCATAGCATGAGCATTGACAATTCTCAGTAATTTTCCCATTAATGTTTGAGAATTCTGAGTAGTTTTATTTGTAATTCAACTACAGGAGGCATGGATGATGCCATTTGCCTTTTGTACTCGTGAGAAGAGATGGTGTGAATTTGCAGAGCCTGTTGATGGAGAATCAACACAATTTCTTCAGGATCTTGCAAGGAAATATAACATGGTCATTGTAAATCCAATTCTTGAGAGGGATGTGAAACATGGAGAGACTATTTGGAACACTGCTGTAATAATTGGAAATCATGGTAACATAATTGGTAAGCATCGAAAGGTAAATGCCAAAGTTTGTGGTTTCATCTTTGTGATGTTTTGTTTAGCATTTCATTTTGAAATTATAATTGCAATTTGCATCTGGCAGAACCACATACCCAGAGTTGGGGACTTCAATGAGAGCACATATTATATGGAAGGGAACACCGGGCATCCAGTGTTTGAGACAGCTTATGGAAAGATTGCAGTTAACATTTGTTATGGGAGGCACCATCCTCTGAATTGGCTGGCTTTTGGCTTAAATGGTGCTGAGCTTGTTTTCAATCCATCTGCTACTGTTGGTGAACTCAGCGAACCAATGTGGCCCATTGAGGTTCTCCTTTGTTCATTCTCTGTGTCTTTGAATCTCTTGTTCTTGCTTGACAGAAAGTGTTTGCTTTGAGATATTTTGGGCTAAGCTGTGCAAACAGTTCAAAAATTAGAATGGTTGGTGTCCGATTGGAAATAGAAAATTTATGAGTTCCTTGCCTTTATCAAATGATGGATTAATAAATGATTTATTTAATTTTACTAATGTTTGAAAAGAAATAATTGGAAAATGGTCCATTGGTTTCTGGTTGGTTAGTAACGATTTGTGTTGTTATGTTGATCATAACATGTAATTGTGGTTTTACAGCCATTTAATTTACAGTATGCTTCTTGATATGTTAGCTTGCTATTCAGTATTGAATTTGACATTTGTGGTGGATTATGTTGCAGGCCCGTAATGCCGCAATAGCAAATAGTTACTTTGTTGGGTCAATCAATCGCGTTGGGACTGAGATCTTCCCCAACCCATTCACTTCTGGTGATGGAAAGCCTCAACATGCAGATTTTGGGCATTTCTATGGATCAAGTCATTTTTCAGCACCAGATGCTTCATGTACACCATCTCTATCCCGATACAAGGATGGGGTGATTATATCAGACATGGATCTCAACTTGTGTAGGCAGCTGAAAGATAAGTGGGGGTTTCGAATGACTTCCCGGTATGAGTTGTATGCTGAGTTGCTTGGCCGGTATGTTAAGCCAGACTTTGAGCCCCAAGTCATTTCTGACCCCTTGTTACACAAGTAGCTCTTCTTAAGTTCCAATTTAAAATGTTTTGAATCTGAAGCAATTAGTAGAAACTGATGATGGGTCAGTGGGGGTTCTGAATGACTACTTGGTATGAGTTATATGTTGAGTTGCTTGGCTGTTATGTTAAGCCAGACCTTGCGCCGTAGATCATTTCTGATCCTTTGTTAGACTAGCAACTCTTTAAGTTCCTAGTTGAAGTATTGTGAATCTGAACAATGATATGTCAAATTATCAGTGGAAAATAAATGTTTGTTGTTTATGGTTGTGTGATCTACCATTTGTGATTATTTTTTATTTGGTTGTGTCGACTGTAAATTAATGTATAAATAACAAGGATGAAGTGTGAAGAAGATATCAAAGCATTGCTTATTCTTCTTTTTCTTTTTTCCATATTTTTTTGTTTCTTCAGTTTAACTTAAGGAAAAGTATATCTCCTTGGCAGAATTTTAGAGGATGCATATTGGTCTCCTGTAAGTATGTGATCTGATACTTTAATCTGCTTCATTTTGGTAAATTCCTGTGCTGTGTGTTTTATCTACTCTCTCTCTCTCTCTCTCTCTCTCTCTCTCTCTCTGCATTAACTTGGCATCAAAATTAAAGATGTTTTGGGAGGTGGCCTTTTCTTGTGAACTCCCTTTAATGTATTGAGGCTTCCCTTCATAAATTTTGTGGATTATTTTAGATTTCTTGTAGGTGTTATGCGGTTGACCTTGTGTTTGCATGCATTTGTCCCCACTCCTTCATAGACTAGAACTAGAAATAGCTAAGTTTTAGTATCTGAAAAAACAGATTATTATACTTAGTTATGTTGAACCAAATTACATAAAGACTCTTAGTTTGGGGACTAATAATCTTGAAATTACCAATCCTTAGATAATTTCCTATACAAAAATTGGAATGCCCCTAGATTAGGAGAGTGATTAATAGGCTCTTAATGTTATACAGGCTTGGGTAGAATTTAACTCCTGAAGTTAACTTTTGAGGTACTTTTGAGGTGAGGGTGTCCTCACGTTTATATGCTTGACATTGTTTTAGTACTTGGACAGTGTGAGACTTCACTTCACACTTGACATATCTCATGTTTGTTTAGAATTATTATACAGACTAAATGGTGTAATAACCATAATTTGAGAACACATTAGTCTTTTAATTCCCTAATCTGGACCTTCCCCAATCCCTTTATTTTGTATTCCACTCCTCCCACGGGATTCAATAGTTTCCCACGTGGCGATATACAGTCTGATAAAGACTATTCATCCGAAAACATCCTTTTGCATTCAAACATGAGATTCGAAATTGGTCCAGATACAGTCCATTTCAAACAACACATCCTTAGAATCCCAGAGACATTCTAGTTTGTGCTTACTTTCATGACACACACACAAATTACATATTATTCTCATGATGATATTTTTTTGAACTCCATTTTCTCATGATGATATGATACATACTAGTACAACCTTCTAGTTAGCTACTGAAGCTTCCATGAGTCTATGAACACACATCCATTCTGCTCTGGGTAACAAACCCTGAAGTGAAAACATTAGGGCTTGAATAACTGCTACTACTACAATCATGGTTTCTCCAGCCCACAAAACGACACGTCTCTTGCGATCTTAGCTCCTCTTCCTTTAGCCATATATAGACCTACATGATGCATCAGTTCCTAGCAAAACAAAAACAAAAAATGAGGCAAGCATTGATGGTTATTAGAGAATAATTAAAACAAAATTTGCTATATTATAGGAAGAAAAATAAGCTAATTATATCTTGGGATCAATAAGTACGAGTATAATTAATTTATAATATAATAGTAGAGTATATTGTATACCTGTGGGTGAGCTATGGCATCTTTAATGTCTCTTGCAATGGAAACTGGAAAATCAAATGTTGCACAGCCACCAGAATAGACAATGACTTCCTCAAGAGGGGTGAGAAAGCCTCGGTTTCGGGCGGAAAGTGTGGAGCAAACAAAATCCAGAACGCATATATCTGTGCATATTCCCACCACCAATATCTACACCCACAAACAATACTTATAATTATCAGTACCATTAAACTTGAGAGAATTTGAGGTGTTATGGGGTTCACTATAGGTCTCATTTCAACGATTCAAATTGTTCATTTTGTAAGTTATTCCATGTATATCACTTATAATATTAAAAAAATTAGATCGATCTAATAATCGTAACTTTTTTATTTTATCACGTTTTTCTAAAAAAAAAAAAGATGAAAATAGGCCATCTTGGGATTGACTTTTTTAGTGACTTTTTTGTTGATTTTTATTTTTATTTTTTATATTTAGTATTTTTTTTAATTTTCAAAAAGTTAAAGAATTTTAGATTCGATTCATGGGAAAAAAAAGTAAAAAATAAATTGAAAACAAATTACGAAAGGAGGAAAAAAATTTAAATGACAGGGTTTTTATTTTTTTTTTTTAATGTCATTATTGAACCCTTTTTTGAATTTTTTTTACTTTTTAAATTTTTCTACACTAGACAGATTGGAAAAGTGAAAATTTTGATACAAATTTGAAGGAAAAAAAATCACTAAAGATAAAAGAAAAAGTTAAAAAAAGAAACTTTTTTAGTTAGATGCCAAACTGTTAGTAAATGCTATGAAGACCTAAGAAGATTATAAAAAGCAGAGAATAAAGCAGACTTTTCATTAATTTAAAATATTTTTTATTAATTTAAAAAAAAAATCACCCTTTCTAAAATAGAGTGCAAATATTTTTAATTTGATTCCCTCTGTTTTTCATACAATCTTAATCTATACAATCCTAATAATAGACATTTGGAAGATAATGCAAAGAGAAAGTGCTTGAGGATGGATGGGAATATCTATATCCATCTACTAATAGCAAATATATACTTACAGTTTTAATCTGGTTATTTTTCACCCAATCCACAAACACATTAGAACCATCCTCTTCCATTGAACCCAGATATCCATCGAAGCAATCTTTTCGCCTTATCGTTACATTTGGTTCCTTCTGCAACCATTTCAGAGCTGCACATGAGAGAGAGCCTAAGAATTGAATTATAGAATGAATAGATCAAAAAAACACAGAAAACAGACAATACTTATACCAGGAACCAAATTGGATTCATCAGTGCCAATGATGCAATGAGGAGGATAGGGATGTTCGAGTTTTCCAGGATGGTGGGAATCAAGAAATGCAAGAATTGGCCATTTCTTGTTGCAAAACACTTTTGCCAGTCTTGCCGATTCATTGATCATTTCATTGATCTGACTGTTGGGCTCTGTGGGTGCCTGAAGAAAGCACACAACCAACCAAATACAAACTCAACCACCATAACATAACAACTCAGTTTCAGACCACAAAGAGAACCAAACAATCACATAAACTTTAAACTTAAGTTGATTATCAAAGAAGGCCATGTTAGACTGATGGTCTAATCCATATTAATTTGAAGTAAAGAAAAATCTATCCATTACAAAATAATGGAAAAGAAAAATGACTCGTAACTCGAATTTCATGTGGGTCAAATGGGCGAACTTTCCAAAACGACGTCGTTTTGGCCAGTGTTTTTTTTTTTTATTCTTTTCTTTTTTCGTTCTTCATTTTCATTCTTTCGAACAGACAGAGGGAAGAGAAGAGGAAGGAGAGAGAGAGAGAGAGAGAAGAGAGGAGAGAAGAGAACAGGCGATCGACGGTGATGGTTGGTGATGGTGGAGGCGATCGACGGTGATGGTCGGTGGTCGGTGATGGTGGCGGCGATCGCAGATCTGAATCTGAAAAAAAAAAAAAATTCTGCATTTTTTCTAAGTAGATCTGGATCTGCAAAAAAAAAAAAAAATTATTGATGATGAGATCCGGATCTGCAGAGGAATTTTTTTTTTTTTTGTTGATGAAGATGATGATGAAGTTGAAGATGTTGAAGATGAAGATGATGATGATGTTGAAGATGATGGCCCGAACTGCATTTTTTTTTCTCTGTTTTCTCTGCATTTTTCTTCTTCTTCTTCTTCTTCCTTTTCTCTGCATTTTTCTGCCCGACATCAAGAAAAATTGGGTTAACATCATCACCAATTTTTTTTTTTGATGTCGAAACCCAGATTAAACATCATGTCCTTGTGTGTGTTGATGCCGAAACTCAGCTCCTTCTTCTCTTCGTCTTCTTCAGCTTTCTTCTTCTTCTTCAGTTCAGAAAAAAGCGGAAAAAAAAAAAGACACCAAAACGAAAGATAAAGAGAGAGGGGAGGAGAGAGACCAGATTTCCAGCCCCAATAGTGCAGAAGCCATTGATGATGTCGACGAGAACTAAACCAGTCTTGACATCTTCAGATAAAACTACTGATTCTTCCTCAAATGGAATTTCATTCTTCAAAAGATCTACTGTCTTCAATACCATCTTTCAAAACCCAAAAAAGAGAACCACATAACAATTCACAGAGCAATTTAATTAATAATTCAAGATGGAGCTGGATTGCATAATGGTGACTGAGGTATAGGTTTGTTGACATTTATAGATGGTTCTGTAACTATCTCTTAGCAATTCAATTCAATCATGATTGGGGCAAAATTCAGTGCCACATAGCAATGCCGTGACGATGCCGCACCTGATTGAACTTTGAATATGTATGTAATTTAGGAGAAATTATTCACGTACATCACGCCATCATCATATTGATATGATGTGCCTAATGAATAAATTTTAGAAAAATGACTCGTACACCTATTGGGGGTCGACTCAGGGAGGTGACACTCTATTATTAGTAAAAAAAAAAGATTATATTTTTTTTTTTTTTTTTTAAGTTTCAATCAGTAGGGGCGTGACACCTCACTGGGGTGCGACCCCCACTGAAAGTATGCAACACTGCTGTAAATTTTAATAGACGTCGTTGTTATTTTTTTAATTAATAATATATTGGCAATGTTTTTAAAATTTCTCCATATTATGATTTTTTTCGCAAGTATTATTTTCATTGGTCGTGCACATTGCTGACGTGATACGCCTTGTAATTTAGATTATTTCTTGTGGTGACTTGGTGGTTGTTGGACTTAGCCCTAGTTTGGAAAGACTAAATAAGTGTATTTTTTGATTTTTTATGAAATATGGGTTGAGTTTGGGTTGGGTTTGAAGTGATGTATTGGAGAGGTGATGTGACTTAAATAAGATGATGTGACTTAAATAGGATAGTGACTTTTTGACTTTTTGTCTTTTTTCAATCTTCCCAAACTAGGCCTTAATATCCGTTTGGCAAGTTGGGTTAGAGGTTTTTTTTGACTATTTTAATCACAAAAGATAAAATAAGCTATTTTAATCACAAAAAATAAAACATCACATTCAACCTATAATTATTACACTCTTTTCTTACACAAAAAAGGCTAAAAAAGCCAAAAAGTCCTTCCCAAACCAAACTTTTTGGCCCAGATTAAAAAAGTCAAAAAAGTCAAAAAGCCAACCCACTTCCCAAACTAACGCTTAGTGATAGTTGACTTTCTAACTATTGTTAAATTTTAAATATCTAGTATGATGTATCTTAAAATAAATAAATAAAATAATCTTAGATATAGTTAGTAGATACCAAGTTCCATTCATAACAAAAAATGACCACACACACATAAAAAAATAAATAAATAAATAAATACGCTAATCATAGTTACAAAATCAAATCCTACTAATTTTGATTTTATGGTTACAAGATCAAATCTTTCTAATTCTCCATTATTCACGAGGCATAAAATCTTTAATTTTATAGTTACAAAATCAAATTTTACGAATTCTTCATTATTTGTGAAGCATCAAATCTTTAAGAGAATTAAATCTACCAATGTTGAGATAATAAAATCCGCCATTGTTTCTCTATAAAAATATAAAATTTACTCAATAAGCAATAAAATCAATGTAATATATATTACTGTGAATGTTTGACAAGAATGAAAACGGTAAAGAATGTGAATTTATAGAAATTATAAAAGTGGAAAGTGTGAATATATACTACTTTGTAACATTGCTCTACAAGATGAGCCTAGAGAAAATTTCATATGGGGTATAAAATATATACTACTTTGTAACATTGTTCCATACGAGGAGCCTTGAAAAAATTTCATACATGGGTATAAAATGCAACTTTGTAACATTGCTCAGCAAGAGGAGAGTAGCTAGGGGCATATGCCCCCATATTAGTTCAAGATGTCATTGCTTGTACTCTTGATATATTGGGGCCATGGTTTGTTATGTGAAGTTTCAACTTTGACATTTTCTCCATAGATTATAAAACTACCTATTGGGCTTTTTTTAATATATTTGTTTAATTTCACTTATTTTATTTATCTATTTTTTAGATTTGTCTTGATTAGACGATCATAAAAATTTAGCAAAAATTATTAGTATTATTATTAAAATTCCAAAAAATAAAAGAAAAGAAAAAGACCAATTTTTATATTAAAAATTTAATCAAATTTTACTTACTTTTATCTTTGGTGATTTTTATTTTTTTAATTTATTTTTATTAATATGCGACCTAAAATCATACATCTCACTATTTTACGGTAATTAAAAATTATATGTTAATCATATGGCTTGATTTTGATATTGTGTAAAATATTATAGGATAAATTAATAGATAAATTATTGTGTAGTCAAATATTTTAATATAAAAGTTACTATGCAGTCACTGTGCATCATTTGATTTTATGATGGAAGTTTTGAAAATCTTGCTTTTACTATTTATCGAAAGTGACCTTTGGTTATATTTTTCCATCCTCCACCTGCAAAATTTGAAAAGAAAAATTGGCATGTGATTCGAGCAACACAACGTGACGAGTCAAGAAGAGGAGCGTCTCTCTCCAACGGATATATTTTTGGGTATATATAGAAGTGTTTTGGTTGGAGAAAAATAAGAAGTGAAGAAGAGAAAATTTTGTGATATTGTCAAATATTGTATTGTTCTTTATTGAGTTATATTTTCTGTGAGAAAAATTGTTGAAAGTTTGAGGAAAATTGTAAAAGGGTTTTCTATTTCTTATTCATATTATTTTTGTAAAATAAGAGAGTTTTTGTAAGTGATTTTTCAAGATAAAATCACTTGAATTAGGTGTGACTAAGCACCAGATTCTAAAATAGTCAGAGTGGTTAGAATTGGTCACTTGTTGTAAAGGTTTATTAGCACCAGTGAAACTAGTGGTATAATACTATTTAGAGAATAGTGAAGAAATTCCTAAGGAGGATACTTGGGGAGTGGACGTAGGCCCGGGATGCCGAACCACTATAAATTGTTGTTTCATATATTTATTTATCTATTTATTTAGGCTAAAATTTTAATTTGACAATTTATTTAATAATCCAATTCAACCCCTCTTGGGTTGCTTATCTGAGATAACAATTGGTATCAGAGTAAGGGCTCTTATTTATTTTTTGACTTAACAGTATTAGAGTTGATTAATGGCAACTATTGTAGGAACACAAATTATGGATGGTCACTCACCTTCCAACCCTTCATATTTTACTGGTGATAATTATAATTATTGGAAAAATAGAATGATGATGTATATTCAAGGGACAGACTATATAGTATGGATGATTATTAAAAATGGTCCAATTATTCCTTCCAAAATCGTAGATACAAAGAAAATTCCTAAAACAAAAGAGGAATGGAATGGGGATGATATTAGAAGTATTAAGATAAATGTTAAAGCAAAACATATTTTGTATTGTGTACTTGATCCTAATAAATATGATAGAATTTGTGTTTGTAACACAGCAAAAGAGATTTGAAAAAAATTAGAAATCACACGAAAATGAAATCACAGAAGAAGTAAAATTCGCATGTGGAATGATGATGATGATGTAAATTACATTAATGGAGAAAGAAACAACAACGAAGTGACAAATATTTGTTTCATGGAAGTTGAGGATGATGAGATAAATACAAATTCTCCTACATATGATGAATTATTAGATTTTATTGAGGAGTTACATGGTAATTTTCAAAAGATTATTTCAAAACAATCTATTCTCGAAAAATTAAATAAATGTCTTTTAAATGAAAATGATGATTTGAAAAATGAAAATGAAAATGAAATTTTGAAAAATAAAAATGAAAGTTTAAAAAAGGAATATGATTCTTTAAAAAAAAATTAAAATGATTTGAAAATTGAAAATAATTCTTTAAAAGAAAATATAGAAGATTTAAATAAAATAAATTTTAAATTCACATAAGGGGAATAAATTTTAAATAAATTACTTAAAAATTAAAGATGTGTTTTTAACAAAGCGGATATTGGGTTTAAACCCCACAAAAAATAAAATTTATATAAAAATCTCTTTGTTAAAGCATCATCATTTAGTAATCCTAATATTGTGTGTCATTATTGTAATAGGAATGGTCACTCAATTTCATCATGTCAATTTAAAAAGGATTACATGGAATAAAAGTGAAATAGATTCCAAAATCAAGTAATCTTGAAACTATAGAGATTGAAATTAGAGGAAGAGAGATAGAATGAAGGCGTAATAGTGAGGACATACCTAGGGTAATGCTCCAACGGTGGATCGACAGTGGTGCTCATGTGCGATGGCAATGATACTCCTGTACCCGATGACGATGGAGACAAAAATGAGAGAGATGGGGCGGAAGGAGGAGGGCAGTGGTGTGTGTGTGTGTGTGAGAGAGAGAGAGAGAGTCACAGTGAAAGACAGGCAGGCATGATATAAAATGGGAATATTAGATATAAAAATAATTTTTTTAAAAAATATATAATCACACGTTAATTAGAAGGTGTGATTAAAAAAAGAGGATATAATCACATTTAATTGAAAAGTGACCTAAAAAATAAATACTATCACACTATATTAAATTAGGTGTGATTAAAATATTAATTTAATTTTGTTAATCACACTTTCATTAAAAGTGTCATATTTTAATTTCCTTAAGTGTAATCTTTAAGCATTTTTGTAGTAGTGCTAACAGTCATGGACCCAAAAAAATTTGGCTACCAAAATCAAAAACTTGATTTTTTTTTTTTTGTAAAAAAAATATGTAAAAAACATATAATTACAATATTAAAAATTTACCAAAGATACAAAAATATGAAAAATAAAATACTCAAAAATTAGGGCATGAGAAGGGGAGCCTCCGAGCTGAAGGTTATGATGAGAATAGAGAGAATCGTTGAATGGTAGGACAAGTGAACAAGCAACAGGTAGTACAAATATTGTTATCCAGATTTGAACTTACAATGAGAAATTTTATACAATACTTTATACACTCACACCCATGTAGTTTGTATGTTATGTTCGGAGATTTAGGTTTGTAGTTAAAAAATTATTATAAATTGTCATATTATTTTTTTTATAAAAAATTAATAAATCAATTAAAACAGTCAATTTTCAAATAGGGCTGAATGTTCTGAGTCTCATAAACTTGAGTTTGTGAGTGGAGCCTATGATCCATTCACCTAAAGTGGCCTAGCCCACTACACTTTGGACTTTAGTGGCCCATTCCTCTTCAAGCGGGTCGGTCCACAAAACCATAACTCTTAGATGAATATGGTTTGTGTTTTGGCAATATATTAAACAACAATGATTTAGACCACTAAAAAATGCATTACTAATAGCACTAATACATTGAAAATGATAAAAAAATAATAAAAAAATAAAAACAAGGCATAGAAAGTGGGCGGGGTCCACTGTCACATCATTAATGCTTCCTTTAGTGATCCCCTTTTAGTGCTCCCAAGCATTTTTCTATATCAAAACAATAGTGATAGAGGCCTCGAATTCGAGGTCTCGAATTTGGCTTGAATAGCGTTTTTTTTTTTGGGGGGGCTGCTATGTTAGTTTTTTTTTTTTTAAAGTCTAATATAAAATATTATATATTTCCCACCAACTCATTATATAAAATTATATGAAATTAATAAAATTTAACCAACAGTTTAACTAATCAGTCAATTTTATTACTTAACCAGTCTAACTTAATTGATTGATCAATTAGACTGCTGGTTAAAATTCGTTAATTCTATATAATTTTGTACGATGAGTTAGTATAGGATGTCTAGTTTTTTGACACATCCTTACACATAACCACGTTTAAAAAAAAATTAAAAAAAAAAAACCAACACAGCTTAACAAATAAAATAAAATTAAATTTAAAAAAAATTAATAAGTCAATTTTATTACCCAATCAGTCCAACCCAACTTACTTACAAAATGTCTAATTTTTTAGTACACCCTTATACATAATCACCCCTATAAAGAAAAGAGAGAAAAAAAAATTAAAAAAAAAAAAACCAAACTAAAACAGCTTTGGAAGAAAAGAAAAGAAAAGAAGAAAAAAAATTACTTTCGAGGCAAATTCGAGCCTCAAATTCGAGGCCTCAATCATTTTTGATATTCAATAGTGATAGAGGCCTTGAATTCGAGTCCTCGAATTTGGCTCGAATAGCGTTTTTTTTTTTTGGGGCTTTTTTTACATGTAAAAGTTAAAATGTCAACTAAAATAATTAATTTCCAAAATAATTAATTTAAAAGGAAGTTAAGGGACGAATTGCTATTTAAGATTCTATAAAATTTGAAGTCTAACCAAACAGCAATAAAAATCTTTCTTTTTTTTTTTTGAATTAAAAAAATCATATAAGCAAATCAGACGGAACTAATTTAATGGGTTTCAAATCAATTTTAAACCATGAATTATTGCAATCTATCGTCACAAGTAGTTCCTCATAAAAATATTATAAGCAATTAAATTGTTAATAAAATATTATTCAAGCAATCATTGTGTAATTTGGACTTAATACTTTGTACATATGTTTATTTTCTTACAAATGAATTATTTCTCTTTGTCAAACAAATATAAAGGGCAATGATACAGACCACTAAAAGTGATGCTCTAAAACAATCACTAATGATGTGGCATTCACTTTTTTAATAAAAAATAAAATAAAAATAGACACAACAACATTGTGGCAGTAGGTGGGACCCACTGCCATATCATTAGTGGTGGCACTAATTAGTGCTCCCACTCATTTTCCAAATTATGTATGTGTTGTAGTGAGGAGAGATGTTACAATGTGCACCTTCAAAGAGATGCATATGTTTTGTCTTTCATAATTTTTTTACAAAATTTCATAACTTAAATTTAAAATGTCATAATTTTTTCCCTATAAAAGTCATAATTTATTTTCACTGAAAAATATCATAACAAAATCTCAAAATGTCATAATAAAAATTACAAAATATTATAATATTATCATTCATAACTTTAGAGTGCACATCATAAATTTTCTATCAACAATGATTCATCCCACTAAAAATATCACCACTAAAAGCACTAATGCATTAAAAAAGTAAAAAAAAAAAACTAATGCATTAAAAAAATAAAAAAAAAAAAAAAATACAACTCCAAGACCAAAACATCACATCATTAATGACAGGACCCACTGCCACCTAATTAGTGGGAGCACAAGCATTTTTCATTTTCTATTCATAATTTTATTACAAAACATCATAACACACATCACAAATAACTATAACATTTATTATAAAAAATCCTTAACTTTTTTACAATGTGCACCATTATAAATTTCTCCAATGGGGAGTGATGATGTTATTACAAATTATAAATGGTAATTTATTAAAAAATAGGCCAAACATTATGATTTATAGTCTAGTTTGAGTCAAACTCATTTATGAGTTATTTATTTATATTTAATAGTGATTTTTTTTTTAATTTCAATAGTTATTACAGATTTTAAATCCAAGAAATTACAGATTTTAAATCCAAACTAAAATTGCGTATTAAGAAAATCATATCAAAACCGTGTGATTTAGGCCTGTTTTGAGATCTTACTATTTTAGTTAAAAAATTAAAAAAATGAAAAGTCATTATAAAAAGTTTTTATATTTATTTATTTTTGGGTTCAGCGTATGAAATCCGAAAAGATCAGTGCTATCCGTTGAAAGCTTCTGTCATCCTCACTTCAACGAGACAACCAATCCAATACCATTTTCTTTTCAAATCCACAATTTTCCTTTCCTTTCTTTGATTTTTTCCCGGGAAAATAAACCCTCAACCGTCTCAGATGACACCATTGGCGGCCACCACCAGACATCCAATCAACCCCACTCATCTCATCATCTAAACTCTGCGAAACCTATGATGCCATCAACCATTACACTCTCAAGTTCAATTAACTTCAATTTTCCCCCAAATTCGCGGATATACTCGAATATTTTCCCGCCAAAGAAACGGTTTTTTGTGGGACGAAGTAAAGATCTCTGTAGACCAAGAATGGCTTCTTCTATTGGAGGGTTTAGGGTTAGTTCCCAAATGGGTAGTGGTGGTGAAAGTGGGTTTTGTACTCTGATGGAGTATGTGGGTAAGGGAGGGGTAGATGTGAGCGATGACTTGGTGGTGTTGTTTGCTCATTTACAGTATGCTGCAAAGAGAATTGCAGCTCTTGTGGCTTCTCCTTTCAATTCGAGTCTCGGAAAACAATCCGGTGGCGCCAGCAGTGTCAGTGGGTCAGACAGAGATGCTCCTAAGCCACTCGACATCGTCTCGGTCTGTTTCCTATTACACACTTTGTGATTGACTTGTTGTATGTATGGCACTCTACTTGTAGGATTATTCACATTATAGCCCTAGTGAAAGTTCTTGTATGAGGTGAAAGTTATGAGGCATGGGTATTTCGAAAAATATGCCGTACCCGTATCGGGTACTTATTGGCGTATGGTTCATCGCATAGTATTTCTGCATACATACCGGGTACACGAAACACATATTCAAGTTTTTTCTTCTTAATTTTTGGCGTACCCGGACGTACTTACTATATACCCAAGCCATACCGTAACTCAGTTGAAACAATATTTTCTTGTACTATAAAGATAAAACTCCTTCAACTAGGCTCTTTTTTATTTTTAGTTTTATACTTATCATGTTTTTAAAATTAAACTATGGTTTGTAAGATATATTGACATTTAATTTTAATTTATACCTTTATATTTGGCATTAAATGTTAATTATAGGTTGAATCTTAACAAATTAAACTATTTAATTAATTTTTGCATTACTATAAATTAAAAATAAATATTTGAATCTTAACAAGCGTACCAAGCGTTATCCGTACTCTACTTTTTTTGAATTTTACCGTATCGACGTACTGTACCCGTACCCGTACCCGTGCCTCATAGGGTGAAAGTAAGGAAAATGTTTGGGACCTTTTATTTTCTATCTCTAACAGTGACATGAATGGTTCAGATCATTTTGGTATTGTGGAGTTGTGTTTTATGGAGTCTCTATCATTATTGGTGAAAGTAAATATATAAGTTGTTGTGTTGGGTTCTCTTATAGGAAACATGAACGATAAGCTTAGCTGTTTGATTTGAAGCTGCGAAACAAGCGCCTTTAAAAGTTTTCACTTTAGTTGATTTAATTGTTATTTGTAAGGTGGCAATGCAGAACTTTGATGTTTGGATTAGCCTTGAAAAGTTATCATTCAAAGTGGGTGTAATTCAACAACTTCAACCTTTCAACCATTACAGAATTCAGTAGAAGTGAATGTTGACTGCACACTATTTTGGAATTTTAAGTAGATATTCGTTGTTCAATCTGTTTATTATATACTTGCTGTTATGTTGTCGAGATTTTGATTGAACTTTTGTAATGTGTTAGGGTAGGAATATGGATTTAACTTGCATAAGCTTCGAAGTAAAACTTGCAGTAATATCTCTTGAACTGGATACAAACTGCGAGAACCTAAGTGTGCTTTCCACTTTTAGGTAGACCTTCCAATTATTAATGAAGTCATTTACAGGTTTGGAGTCCATCCTGACATTGATGATGTGTTATCCCACCCATTGTCAACTCTGTGAGCATCTAGCATTGCCATTACGCATACCCTGGACCCTTTTCTCAGGGTATTCAATCATATCTAATGATTGTGAGTGATGAATCCTCAGTATGTGGTCAGATAGTTGGTGATGAATGGGCCCTTTATGATTTTTGTTTTTTTGATTTATGATGATAGTTAACTCTGAAAAGGATTTCTCTCGTATTTTATTTGAATGAATTTCTTATTTTACAACAAATATCGCACCTCCACTCGACAACCTCTCTATGGTTGTCTCCAATGCATCTGGGTACTCTCCCCTCTCAACTAATGACTCGATTGCAATAAAACTTATTCTGATTGGCCCTAGTTTCGTGTGCAGAATCAGATCATTCTGTCGTCTTTGCGAAATTCTGGTAAAGTCGCAGTTATGGCTTCTGAAGAAGATGATGCACCAATCTGGTTATCTGATGGTGGCCCATTTGTGGTGGTGACAGATCCTCTAGATGGTTCCCGGAATATAGATGCTTCTATTCCCACTGGAACAATTTTTGGAATTTATAACCGCCTTGTAGAACTAGATCATCTGCCTGTGGAGGAGAAGGCATCACTGAATTCACTCCAGAGTGGCAATAGGCTTGTAGCTGCTGGCTATGTTCTCTATTCATCAGCCACAATACTCTGCACCAGCTTTGGTTCGGGAACACATGCATTCACACTGGACCACTCAACAGGAGACTTTATTCTCACACATCCAAGCATTAAAATTCCTCCTCGAGGTAATATATTTAAATTTTAATACTTAAATATAGTGGCATGTTTAAAAATCGTTGTATATTTAATAATATGACTGATGTTATGAAAAGAAAAAAGAAAATATATTGCTTTCTCCTTTTCCTATGTGCTAACTTTTTGATGAACTATTGACAATCCAGCTTAAATTTAAAATATTACAATGTTTTGACTGGATTGATTATTATGTGATGGATGCTACTGCTGGATTCAATTTTTGGGTTTCACTTCCCTAGAGACCTATATAGTATATACCAATGTCATCGATTTCCTTTTTTATATACAGTAAGTTAAGGAGACTCAAACTTGAGTTGCTTTATTGAGGAAATGATACCTAAGCCCACTAAGGTTGTGTTTGGATCATGGGCTTGTGTAGGGATTTGGAAAGGAAAAGGAAAAGGAAAAGGGAAAGGGGAGGGAAATGTGAATGAAATATAATAAGCTATTTGTTTTCTTCATTTCACTCACCTATTCACAATTCCCTCCCTGTTTCCTTTTCCTTTCTCTTTCTCTTTCCAAATCTCTACCTAAATTCATGATCCAAAAACAACCACTGAGGGTCTCCTAGGGGTCGTCTCTATTCCCTTTTTGACTAGGATGATACTATTTTCATGCACCTCCATGTATGAGAAAACATATTGTATATTTCATGTTAAGGAAGGAACTACAATAGAATTTCCGGCATTATACCACAATTAGTATTTTCAGATGATGGTTGTTAAATAAAAAAATGAAATCTGAAAAAATCAATGTAAAATCATTTAGATCTGACTCATGATGGCTTCATTGTTATGTCAGGACAAATCTACTCTGTAAATGATGCACGTTATTTTGACTGGCCCGAAGGTTTAAGGAGATATATTGACACCGTGAGACAAGGCAAAGGTAGATACCCTAAGAAGTATTCAGCCCGTTACATATGCTCTCTTGTTGCTGATTTCCATCGGACTCTCATGTATGGTGGAGTGGCAATGAATCCAAGGAACCATCTTCGTTTGGTCTACGAGGCAAACCCTCTTAGTTTTCTTGTAGAGCATGCTGGGGGTAGAGGTTCTGATGGTAAAGGTAGAATCTTATCACTTCAGCCAGTCAAGCTCCATCAAAGACTTCCTTTGTTTTTGGGGAGTTCAGAGGATATGGAAGAGTTAGAGAGTTACGGAGACGTTCAACAGAAAGTAAATCCTGGGTATGAAGTTTAATTTCAGACTCTGTTTGGATCGTGGATTTGAGTAGGGATTTAAAAATGGAAAGGAAAAGGCTAGGGGAACGGAATTTTCTCTTTAATCTTATATTTCATTCACGTTTTCCTCACCTTTTACTTTCCTTTTCCAATCCCCCATCTAAATCTATGATCCAAACATAGTCTCAAAGGTTAAGTATTGCAAATGCACATGTGGTGAATCATGCCCCAAATGGTTATGTGATTGTTCTCTTCTTTTTCTCAACTTCTGTGGGAACCAATTGGAGTATGAGAATTTTGGGCATGAAATGCGAGAAGGCAATGTATATTATTTTATTCCTTTTTTGTTTTGTGAGTGTGTGTGTGTGTGTTAGTCTTCCTTCTTTATGTTTAAATTGTGAACAATATGTTCTCAGTGTATTCTGTTTGCTTGTATAAATTGTTAGATCACAGCTAAAAATTGTTTTATGGTGTACCACAAATGACCTTTCTTCGTTCTCTTCTTTTTTAAATGCATATTTTATGGATACCTACTATGAGTTACGACTTACTAACTTTATCCAGCGTTGGCAAATTGAACTCTGGGAGCTCGCTAGGAAAGTACAACGGATGAATAATTAGGTGGGTTTTTACAATGGAAAAGTAGTACTTCTCCGAAATATTTTCTTGTTAGTCTAATAATTACATCCATTTTTTCAGTGTGCATGTTGTTTCATATTATTGGTTTTCTTTGCTATGCATTCTTGCTCCATAAATACTGAATAAAAGGTTTTACATCCATCTCTAGCAATCAAAACTAAACATCTGCATGCTTCTTATTCATGTTTTTATTGTGTAAGACTGTCGATTTACAATATTTCATCACCATACCGTCAGTTTAGGCAATATCTCTTGTTTCTGTTCCACTGATAATATTCGATGTTCTTTCTTTACAAAATTGCCTAAATAGTGGATGAACTTGTTTACATACTTGTCATGCAGATCCTGGTATGAAAAAAAACATTTTGCATTTGAGCAGCCTTCGCTTGTAGTGGTTCTCCCTCTTGCTCTACCATCACTAGTCTAATTGACTCGGCAACTGCATCTTGATTGAAAGAACCATCTTCGTTCCTCGGGACCTCATATCCAACTCCCTTTTCCATCAACAGCTTAGCATTCAGAGATTGGTCTCCTATCATAGGCATGATGATTGGTGGTTGTCCAAAACCGAGAGACTCGATGATTGAACCCCACCCGGAATGGAAGAGGCATCCTCCAATGGCACGGTGAGCTAGTATCTCCTGATGTGGCGCCCATCCAAGCCTAACCACGCTCCTATCAGAGGTTTGAGTTGAAAAACCAGGAGGCAGAAAGCTCAAGCTATCCACTCCTTCGGGTTTCCTAAGAATCCATATGAAAGGAAGGTTTGACAGCTCGAGCCCTTATGCCAACTCATGGATTTGCTCAATAGGCATCTTATACTCGCTTCCAATCCCACGAAAACAACAGACTTCGGTTTCTGTTTATCCAACCATTCAAAAGTAGCAGACATTGTGATTCATTGCTAGTTCTGTTCTGCTCAAAAGTTGGTGAGAGTAAACCAATGGGTAAAACCGGTTTTTCGTAGAGTTCTTTGAGGAGGTCTAGATATTCCCCCTCGAACTCTTTGCAGGTTCGGACAGCAATGAAGTCACATCCTTCGACAGTCTTGGCCAGTCTTTGGCCACGCGACATCCTGGACTTGTCGGGAAAGTTCAAATTTTGGAATATTCTTGGTGAGTAACAAGAGAAGGGAAAGTAAACCAATCTGGCGGATTCGTGAACTGTTCTGCTCTTGTTCGTCTGGTGTGGGACTAGAGCTCGTCAGTATGCTAATGTGGCAGCTGTGTATGCGCTAAAGAAGGCCGAGCTTATGCCGAACTTAGCAAGTCGAGTAGTATGAAATCGGGTGAAAACATATACTGGATTTCTTCAAATGGTGCTTGTGACTCATCGTTGGCCTTCTTTAGATACTGTATTTGCTCAACTTGAAGGTCGGTAGTGGCTTCGCAATCCTCTGGCAAACTCTCAACTGATGGCAATGTGATCTCAACCATCTCTATCTTGTCTGCTAAATTTGTAGGAATCAGCGGTAGCCTCTGAATGTTTCTTGGCGTGGAAACGAATCTGTGTATTTGGTTTTAGTTTTTTAAATTCAGTTTTTTGGAAATTAAATTTTTATTTTTCGTGTTTTTTTGTTTTTAGTGAATATTATTAAAATTTTAAGTAATTTTTTTACTTTTTTAGAAGTACCTTACTTAAATATATCTAAATAGTAAAATATTTGTGAAAAAATATTTTTAAAAAGTAATAAATACACAAAAATATGAAAAATATATTGAATTTTTGTTTTTTTTATTATTTATATTTTCGCTATTTAGTGATTTTTTTTTAAAAAAAATCACAAATATTATACTTTTTAAGTGTATTTATGTTAGGTGTGCCTAAAAATTAAAAAATTTATTTAAAATATTAAAAAAAATAGTGAAAATAAAAAAAATACAAAAAACAAAAAAATAGAATTTTTTGTAAAGTGAGTTTTGAAAATTAAAACAAAACAAAGTGAATGATATTTGGATACCCTTTTCTGCTTAACTTTTGGTCAACTGAAGGAGCAGTATAATGTGAGATCATCTCCAATAGTTATTAAAACTTGTCATCAAATTTGAATTTGATGAAAAATGACTCATTTTCTTGCTTCAACAGTTTCATCAAATAGGTATCAAATTTAGGATTTCACTTTTCTTTCATCAAGCTGAGGATCAATGTGTTTTTCATTAAATCACTGTTCATATCATTTGATTTTCACCCCTGGATGTCTCTTCAGATGTCTCTCGGATGACTACCTCAAGGAAAAAATTTATGAAAAAATTACACTAACTGGTCGACCCACCGAGTGTCTTTCCAGTCGTTCGCCCAGTCGATCTTCCGGATGACCACATTAAGGCAAAAATTTGTGAAAAGTTTACATTGACTAGTCGACTAGCTGGACGTCTGCTCGGTCGACCGGTATTCTGATGAAATTTTAAAAACTTCCATTGAAACACTTAATATCAAATGAAATTTTTACTCAAATTTAATAAAAAATTTGATACACTGTTAAAGAGGCACTAACCAAATGCTAGCCATGAAAACATCATCACATGACATTGTTTGGAAGCCGTGGATATACTGTTGAGTTCGTTCTTTTCTTTCGAGTCCTTTTAATGAAGCATTGAGTTCTGTTTAGTAGTTTATTAGCACATTCTTTGCATGAAAATTGTGTCTATCTTAGCTATTGAAATGCACAATACCCAACACATTTTATTTGTGGTCTCACAATCCTTATACTGTTTTATATTCAAATATTATAGCTCTGTCCAAAGTCCACTGTAGGCATAACAACTTTAGATGTTATTTTGCATGTGTTTCATGCTAATTGCAGTGTATATATAGGCCGTCATTAAGGAGCAAAAAAAACGTCAAAATGGTTAAAATTATAACACATTTTTCACAAATTTTTACATTTTTTTTGCACATTTTTATACTTTTTTACATGTAGATTGAGAAAAAATTGCTAATTGAGTAATCATTAGCATTTCTCATTAGTATACTAAACATGTTTCATGATGAAACTGTCCACTTCAAGTCTTCAACTAATCGGACTGGACTGTTCATAAACCTAGCTTGTTTTGCAGCCTTTCCCTTTTCTTTTCAACCCTACAGGAAAACACATTCGATTCACAGATAAATAGATGAATTAGGAATAGGACTATTTTATATCGAGGTAAAATTATTCCATTGTTTCATATTTTGTTATTTTGTAATCCGGATGAAGAATCTTCACCGTTAGATTACACATATAATAAAATATTTCACACTAATCAAAGGATGAAAAAAAATTTATAAAGTATTTTATGATATTTTTTTCATAATTCTTAATATTACTCTATTCCCAAAGCCTTTTATCTTGTATATGTGGAACAATTTATATCCTCGAATAGGATTTTTGTTGTAAAATGATTAAAATATCTTCTACAGGATAAGTTATCCTACCTAATCCTATTGGAGAATCAAACAGGGAGACCTACAAAATCCACAGTTTTGATTAGTATCAGCAGTAAGTAATGTGTAAAATATTGGATCATGAAGAAATTGTGAGTATTCAAATGACCACTCATACCAGCAACCTAACATAGTGGATGCAGTACTGCAATGGGTTGATCTATTCACATAACTAACCACTCATGAATTTGGTTTTTTGCAATACAGGGTGAGTATGGTTTGGTTGGGCTCAGTTCAGGAGGAAATTAAGGATCAAATTACTACCTACAGTTCTATTAAATTTGAAACAACCAAATCAAACCTATCTAGTGAAGCGTGATTCGGTTTTATTTAGAATCACGGTTTCTAAAAATGTCATCATTTATGTAAAGTAAGTTGAGAGAGGGATATTGAGACAGTAATCTCTGTATTTCAATATATCTGAAACCATATAGAGAGTCTCCATTATATAAGAGCTTCTGTGTTACAAACATCATCATGTCACAAAACATAATTATGAAAAGGGACCGAAAGCAGACTGACAGACCGAAAACAAACTAAATCCTATCTGAGAGGGTAATTTTTGGTAAAAATTGGGCCGAGCTATGAGATGGACTTTATGGCCCAAGAATTGTAAAGTTACTCCGGCCCAAGAGAGATAAAGTTACTCCGGCCCAAGAATTGTAAAGTTACTTCGGTCCGGAAGCAATTTGGAGTTAGGCCGGTCTCGGTCGTAGTCCGGTCATGATGTGTTTGTGGTTAGAATGGTCAAAACCTTGCTACTCGGTAGCTCGTTCTAAACACACCATGGGTTGAATAGAAGAGAACCGAGATAGGAAAGAGTAAAAGGAAGAACCAAACTAAGGATAGTTCGGCCTACTCTGTGGCTCGGCATAGCCAGTTTTATCTCGGTCGTATGGTAGTTCAGCCATGGTAAAAACCATCCCACTTGGTTTAAGCAGTGGGGGTGTTAAAGGATAAGCATTATCCTACAGGAGTATGAATCCTAGGAGGACTCTACATGGAGGAGTAGAAGTCCTACTAGGATAAGCAATTTATCATAATTTTTCAAACAATAATTGCTTAGAATTAGTTCTACCTGGATATGATTGTAGGTGCAGCTCTATAAAAGTTACACAGTTTTTAATAACAAAAAATGCTTTTTGTTAGTATGTGGTGCAGTGTTTTTGAAATCATGAAGCAATGGTAAATATTTTGTGCCACCACATGCTAGTTGACTAGCTAAATGAGATGAGAGAATCGAAGGGGTTGATCGAGAAAGATTTGTTGTTCTTATTACAAGATTGCAATTAGTTTTTTATATGTTTAGTATAGAGAATAATATTCTTCTTGAAAAGAATCAATAATAAAAATGGAAAGTATTCAATTGCAACATGAAAATGTGACTAAATTGGTCCTAGTTACTCTTCGGAATGGAGTGGAAAATGAAGAGATTCTCAAACGAGAAAAAGAATTCAATGACTTCGAAAGAATTAAGCGAAGAGCTGTATAAAGTAAAAATCTCATGTATGGTTCTGTAGTAAATTTTTTTACTACCATCTCTAAAAAGTCAAATTATATTATACATAAAGTTGTCAATTAGCTTCTAAATTTAAGAACTTTATAAATATATATCAATTCTATTATAATATGTGAACACTTGAGTTAGTCTTAACGAAAAGGATTTCATGTACACCCTCACAAAAGTATATAATTTTACATGTCTTTATTTTTTTAATCAGTTACAAAAAGGTTACTATCCTAAATTTAAGATGTTAATACTCTAATGCGAATTTTAGAGTAATTTTTTTTTTCTAAAATTCCCATAAAAGCCATCGTCTAGGTGCTTGCTGAGTCGTTTGATTTCTAGCTTGAGTTGCTCTACTTCTTCTACGTTCATGGGTGTTTGGAATGTTAGCTTATTGGCTAGTCTAGTCACTTCTTTCTTCGATTTTTTTTTTTTGTTTTTAGTAATTTTTTAAAAAAATTATGTCAAAGTTCTTTATTTTTTTCTCTCTTTTATAAATGAATCTAAAAGTAGAACAAAATTGAAAATTTTCAAAAAAAAAAAAAAAAAAATTAAAAAGTCAAAATAAGCCAAAAAATCAATATTTTTGGCTTTTTTTATTGATTTTTTTTTAAAAAAAAATTATGGTCCTCCTCGCCGAGCTGAACATAGAAGGATAAAACTTTTTAACTTTTTTTAATTAGAGCAAATTACACTTACCTTCATGAAGTTTGAAAAAAAAAATACAACTAAGTTCTATAATTTTGATATAATTACATAAACTTTCTTTTTAGTTAATGTTAAAGAGATTAAAACTAATACAGATTACATAAAGACACAAAGAACCATAAAGGTAAAATATACATTTTAATTTAAAATAAATGACAACACAATTTTTTTTATTTATACGACTAACGAATTTCTAATAAAAATGAGATAAAGTGTATATAAATTAAGTTAAATGGTAACAAGTGCCATATGGACATTGTTTACTATTGGAAAGCTTGTAAAAAATCTCTTGAAAACATATAAAACTGTGGTGTATTGATTTCAATAAAAGCATATTTAGTGCAAAATGTACTATGTTCTACAAATATTTTATTTTTTTCTTGTGTTCTAGGAACACTTGTTATCAAGACTCATAAATTAAAATTTTAAGAGAATCAAATATAATTATATCAAATTTGTAAAATTTATTGTATTTTTTAAAAATTTCAAAAGAAGTTACTTCAAACTATAGCCTGCGGCGAGGTGGGGTCTTCAAATTCTAATTTAAAAGTTGCTAAGTAATGGAGTTTTGAATGAATTTGATGGCGACTTGAATTTGTTTTTTTTTTTTCTATTTAATTTTCTTAATTTTTAATTTATTGTGAAGTTTTGTTTTCCTTCCCTGTGAGGGCTTTTGTTTCCCTCAATTGTGTGGGTTTTTTTTCTTCACTTCTATAGATGTTTCGGTGGTTTCTTCTCTTTTTGAGATACTGTGATATTATTCTATTAAATTGATATGATTTTTAATTGATTTTGTAATAAAATTTTTCCTCGATTTTAAAAAATAAAATAAAATATAACCCGTGGAAAAGAAAAGAGTTCTCAATAACCTACAGACAGGGGTGATCAAGCTTGATTTGATAATTTGAATGAATTTTAGAATATCTACTTATATTTAGGCCTAGTTTGGGAAGATTAAATAAGTGTATTTTTTGACTTTTTATGAAATATGGGTTGGGTTTTGGTTGGGTTTGAAGTGATGTGTTAGAGAGGTGATGTGACTTAAATAAGATGATGTGACTTAAATAGGATAGTAACTTTTTGACTTTTTGTCTTTTTTCAATCTTCCCAAACTAGGCCTTAATTTAGTTTACTAGAATATCTACTTATATTTAATTTAGTTTACATTATTTTTTTATATTTCATTAAGTTTTATGAGTGACATACTTATTAAAATACTCTTAATAATATTTACATTTAGGTCGTGAATGTTTACACTGTCAATGTAAATATTCACATCACTAAATTACTGATCGTTCAAAAAATATTTGTAAATATAGAAATGTCTATAAAATACTTTAAATATGAGAATTAAGATTTAATAGATTAAATATTTAAATAATAGATTTATTAAAATACAAAAATATCTTATAAATCAATTGAAATACAAATATTTAAAAAATAATTTTCTAATAAATCTCCCATTTTAAAATGTATTTAAATTTAATTTATTTATTTAACGAATCAAATTTATATAAATTTTTAACAAACCGAACAGAGTCCAACTCAAACTGTGTGGTTCGTTTATCATCCAAATAACCAGTGATAACCAGTGGCATCCCTCATAATTTTTTCCTTCATCCGTGTCCATTTCCCCATCATTCGTGGCCCCCTCCGCTTTCTTGAACCACCTCAAATCACCAATCGCACACTTCCACTCCCCCACCCATTTTTAGTACTTTCAATTCTCCAACAGACAAAACAATAATTTCTAGGGCTTTTTTCCAGACTCAATTTTGAGGTCACACCTTTTGTTTTTCTTCTTTTGTTTTTAGGGTTCATTACTTGATGTTTCAAATCTTTTTGCGTTGATTTTGAATTCTAAATTATTTAATTTTATTTCTCTCTATATATAAATTTATTGTATGATATAGATTCGTCTCTATCTGAGTTGTAAATACTTCAGATGCCAGAGACGAATCACCAATCCTCCATGTACGGAACTGAGCCCACGATTCTGCAACAACAACAACAGCAGATGAACCAGATCGAAGAAGACGAAGAAGATGATGAAGTTGTGGGTGGTGAGTCCATAGACAACCCTCAGATCCGAATCGAAGCTCACTCTCTCCACGACGCTACCGTCGGTGCTGGCAGCGTCGCCGTCGCCGGCGCCGGCGATGCGATGAACGGCGGCGTCGATGGTGTTCATCCCCATGCTTTGTACGTTCCTGGTTCTGAAATTGCTCCGGCCGCCGCAGGAGGTGGCGCCGATCAGCTAACCCTCTCGTTTCAGGGCGAGGTTTATGTGTTCGACGCTGTTTCGCCTGACAAGGTGCGGGCTTTAGCGCCCTGGATTTTTGTTTTTTGTTTTTTTTTTTTTTAAACTAATTTACCTATGCACTGACCTGTATTTATTGCTTTATCACCTGAAAGATTAGGTCAGTTTTCTGAAGTGTGTATGCGCTTGGAAAGTTTTCTGGTTTTACTATTTTTTATATATATAATAGAAGTGGTGACACACCCAATGCGTGGGATATGATCATTTTATGTAAAAAAAAATAAGATTGTAAACTATATGATTGAATTCAAAGTCTGAAATCAGAAGTTGAGAGATTTGATAATATATATATATATATATAAAGAAAGAAAGAAAGAAAAACCTGAATTTAGGGCATAACTAGCGGCCTAATTGCTGTAGGGTACTCTGGGAAACCAAAAAAATGAGACATAAACACGAAGTTGGGCCTTTGCTTTATAATAGTATAGATAGATAGATGTATACTAGCGGTAGGTGAGTTTGCAATTATATATTTAAATTCTTGGACAGTCTAATAAATGAGAAAAATTGTTTAACAGCTTTAGAATGAGGAAAACAATTAGCAGTTTTAAACAATTTTTGATGAATGAGAAAAACTGTTTAACAGTTGTGAATTCGGCAGTTATTGGAAGTGGATGATATTTTTGAAAAAAAGAAAAGAAGTGATACAATGTTCACCCCAAATGGGGTGAATGCTTTATATAAGAGAATAAATATATATATTTTGCAACCTTGGAAATGGTGTAGTGTTTGTAAGTATTTGCATTTAATGCTGCTCTGCCTAAAACTTATAATGTGTTTTGGGAAAAATTTGTCAGCTTTCGAAAATTTTGTTGTTATGAAGTAGAAGAGTCATCCATTTTTGGTTTACTTCAAAATTTGTCGTCTATTTTGGATTGATTTCGGGGATGTTTATTATTTGTTCTGTTTTGTGGATTGAAATACTTATTGTAGAATCTTGTGTTTATTCATTGGAAAGGAGAATGTGAGTGACCCAAGGTTTCGTTTTGATTGATTTGTACAGGTGCAGGCAGTTTTGTTATTGTTGGGTGGATATGAAGTACCCACTGGTATTCCAACCGTCGGGGTGGCCCCACTGAATCAGAGGGTACTACATAATCATGTTTCTGTTGTAATGGTGTTTTTTTGAGCTTGTTTTCATTTTTTAATATGCAAATTTTTTTTTTAGGGTTTAGGTGATTTTCCTGTAAGATCAAGTCAACCACAAAGGGCTGCTTCTTTGAATCGGTTCAGGGAGAAGAGGAAAGAACGATGTTTTGACAAGAAAATCCGTTACAATGTTCGAAAAGAAGTTGCACTCCGGTATTTTGTAGAATCTTAATAGCCGTTCTTATCTTCTTGTTCTTCGTTGTCTTTTTTGTTGATTGGGACTCTCCTTTGAGTGGACAAAAGGGAGGAGGTCAATGTTGTTGGTAGATTCATTATGCTTCTATCCATGTTTGTCTTTCTCTCTAAAGTGTGTGAATTTACAAATTTATTTTTTAATTTTGCTTTGATAGTGAAGGAATTGAGCTAATGAAATGATTCTGGACAATATGGACATGTTTTTTTTTTATTATTTATTTTTAAAAGAGAAAATCCTACATGCCCTGTAGATTCTTTTTTCAATCAGATTGTACTTAATAGAAAGGGAAAAAAATGACATGCAAGTGTGGCATGAAAATTGTGTGTCATTTGACATGTAAAGAACATGAATTGTCATAGCATTATCAAATTTAAGTATAACAAAGGTAAATATAAGCTGTAATATGAATAGTTGTACATATAAAATGAAATTAAAATGTGTTTTCATTGAACATTTATTGTTGACTGAGGCAATAGAAACTTTGACCTGCCTGGAAAGAAAGTTAAATGAAATCTTTGTTCCTATAATGGTTTGTCTTGAGACTTTTTGCGGCAAAGGAACATAATATTATATAAACTACTAAAAGCAAATGCTAATATCAGTATGTTTAAATGTTATTTATCAAAAAAAAAAAAAAAATCTGTATGTTTAAATGTTTTGGTTTGTCCCTTCGAAGCATGCAAAGTAGGTTTGCTCAAACCATACAGACTTAGGTAGAAGTTCTTTCATTTCATATTTTTCTCATTTATATCTCAGCCTTTTTATTTGAGAAAATGATTGTCATTCTGCCCATTTGTTGTTCTCTGTCACTCTGTCAGGATGCAGCGCCGAAAGGGTCAGTTTACGTCGTCCAAGGCAGTTTCAGATGAAGTGCATTCTTCTTCAGTTTGGACTACATCACAGGGTTCAGCTCAAGAGGAACCAGAAACTTCGTGAGACTCAAATTGATTTACTTTTTATATTGTTTTTCCCTCTTGAAAGGATCTGGGGTTCCTTCTCTTTCCATCTTCTGCCTTTGAGAATGTAGCTCACGAAGGCATGATCACTAGTATGGAGAACTTGCCATGAGGGTGTTGTGTGGCAAGTCTCTGTGACGTCTGTATATAGTCCAGTCTCTGTGACGTCTTTACTCGTCAAAAAGAAAAGAAAGAAAGAAAGAAAGGGTGCCATTATGATCTCATCATGTTGTGCATAAAAAGGTCCACATTGGTGCTACCGCTCAAATGGATTATTGGGTGTCAACCACTAGCTTGGTTTTATATGATGTGTGCATGTGTGTATGTGTATGTGTATGTGTATGTGTATGTGTGTGTGTGTGTGTATGTGAGAGAGAGAGAGAGAGAGAGAGAGGCTTGAGGTCTAGGAAGCATGGATATGGATACGGATACTAACAACGGATACGATACGATACGGATACGGTAATATGACAAAACTTAAAAAAATAGGATACGGATATGGTTAGAATACGTTTGTAATTTTTTTTCCTTTTAAATTATTAGTAATGAGTTACACATAAGATAAAGAATGTTGAGAAACCACACTATAATTTATAATGCAAAGTACTAACCTTTAAGAATTATGTATTATAAATTCACTATGTTCTTCTTATCAAATAACTAAACAAAGTATTAGAAAAATATTCTTGTATCTATCCTTACAATTATATTATATTATAATGTTATGTACAATTCTAATTTCGTAAAAGAAGTAATACATGACTTAGAGTATTTGATACTTCAAAATTAAGTATCCGATACTCCAAAATTAATGAAAAATGGATTAAGAAGTATCCGATATTTTTAATAAGTATCCGATACGTATTCGCGAGTATTGAAGGACTATTGGTATTCGATACGGATGTCACCATTTTTGAAGTATCCGTGTTTCATAGCTTGAGGTGTCTCCCAAACAGGGACACTATAGTGGACACATGTCCCTACTTTATTAATTACCAGTGTATGTATGTAGAATATGCTTATGGCATTGTCTATCAGTATCCTCATCACTCATGAGAAAAAAAGGTTCTTTTTCTTTTCTCTTTTTAACTCGAATTAGTGACTTTGTACTTTCTCCTCCATTGTCTCTCCATTTTCCCTCACCAACCACTTCTTTGACCCTTTTGGCATGATGTTTATGAACCTGTTATCAACAGATACTTGCTCTACATTATTTTTAATTTGTTTTGCATATACTTTAAAACTTCTTTTAACAATATGGTCTGAGTTGAAAATAAGATTGTGCTCAATTTTTTTAAGACTTATCGTTGTTTAATTTTCTGCACAGTTGTACACATTGTGGTATTAGCTCAAAGTCTACTCCAATGATGCGGCGTGGCCCAACTGGCCCGAGGACATTGTGCAATGCATGTGGGCTCAAGTGGGCCAACAAGGTTGGTACTTGGTACGCTGAAGAATGATTTTCCTGTACATTTTTAATCCTCTGCACATTTAAAGCTCCATATACTTGTGGGTGTGACATTGTTTTTGTGATTATCATTTTTACCCTTTGTTATCTTATATTGGGTAAATTAAATTTGCCTCTTTTAAGTTTTAGCGTTTCCCACTTTGGTGCTTATAGTTTTTTCTACTCTCTTTGGTTCCTAACGTTTTAAAATTTCTCAGTTTACTCCAATATCTAATGTTCATCTAATTTTGGATTAAAATGGCCATGTAAGCAGCCATGTGGCATAATAACACATTATACCAATTTGGGTAAATTACGCTTTGCCCACTGAAGTTTTAGTATTTTCACTTTGTCCCTTCAAAGTTTTTTTTCTCACTTCGGTTCCTTGTGCTTCTAATTTTTCCTAATTTGCTCCATCACCCCATCTACTGCGTCCACCTTTGGTCCCCTCCACTGGCACAATACTACCACTACAACCCTTACTCCTTCCTCAATGCCAATCTACCATTACCTACAACTGAACAATAACACTATCCACCACTCAACTCCACCTCCTTACTTCCATGACCATCATCTCAAAACCACCATAGCCAATTCAAATTGATATCATCTAACATAATTGAACAACAACTGTCCTTCTCAAATCCGGTTGCCATTTCAGTAGATATGGGTGAGAGGAGGGGGATATCAAGTGTGGGCTTTAAATTGGGGGCAACGTGTCTGCCATTCATCCAATTTTGGATAGATGTTGGCTGTTGAAGCAAATTAGGAAACATTAGGGACCAAAGTGAAAAAAACTCACTGAAACTTAAGGGAGTAAACTGGTAATTTACCTGGATTTGTAGAATAATGTGTTATTATGCCATGATGTGCCAATGTGGCATTTTTGTCCAAAATTGGACAGCTGTTAGCTGTTGGCATAAAGTGGGAAAATTTAAAAACAAAAGGGGAAAAAAAAAAAAAAAAAAAAAGTGGGGAAAAAAAACTTTTAAGGGCCAAATTGAGAAAATGCTAAAACTTGAGGGTTTACCCTGTTATATATGTACTTTTTGAAGTATTGGTTTGAGTTGATCAGAGGTTATTGTTGAATGCATTTAGCTTGTACTCATCTTTTAGGTGTAATTTGTTTCGATGATTGTATCTAGGAATTTGGACATAATTTCTCCTTTTATATTTAATATTGGGTCCATGCTTTAGGTTGCAGGGAGTTATTGCTGCATAGTTTATTTAGCTTTATGGATGAAGGTTTTGTTAGAGTGATGCATTTTGTATTCTTCTTTTATAGTCTTGCCCTATTGTTTTCTGGACTCTTGGGAACACTTGGATCACCAAATGGAAAGAGCTATTGAGTCACAAAACTTTTGTAATTTTTTAGGCCAAACTTTGAATTATTTTAACTTATTTTCGAGAAACAAAATTTTTATCTATGAATAAAATCATATTATAGTACATATATTTTGTGCAAATACGTAGTGGCTATGTCATTCATTGCTGATGAGAGAATAGTGATTAGAGGAAAGGGAAAAGTAGAAAACAAAGCTGTAAAGAAACTTAAGATCATTATACTGCGCAGTTTCATATACAATAATTAAAACAAGGTGTACTAGCATAACGGGGAGCTACTTAATGCGCTAACATGTCATTGGTTAGGATTTTCAGTGAGTTTTCATCCGATTTTAATTTGTTGTATATTGTTGAGAAAGGTATATTTCCACATTCCTGGCTCAATAGAAGCTTCTGATTTCTCTACCAGAGTATGAATTGGAAAAATTGGAAGAAAAAAAAAAACCAGTTTGTTTTCTGGTGAGATCCAAATCCATTCCACCCTGCATGATCTCCTAGCTTATGGAAATTTTCATTTCATGCAAGAACAAGAAGTATAAAACATCTACTTTTGGCATTTGTTTTTCTGTTGATATGTGCAGTCTTAATCCATTAGAGACACTCAAACCCTTTAGTGCTCAGAAATTTCAAGAAAGGTCTGGCATGCCTTTTGACCAATTGTACTTGTTTCAGTTTGCCTATGTAGTGTGCCTGTTTGGTGTTAAAAGCTATGCTTATTTCAGTTTTCAACTCAATTTAAGCTATTTTGATGTGTTTGGTTTAGCTTAACAATGCAGCTTATAGCTTTTTGTAAGTCAGAAATCAGCTTATTCTTTGAGTGGTGCAGGAGATGCTTAATTTGTAAGTCAGAAATCAGCTTATGTTCATAGTTATAAGGTATAAGCTGTTAAGACATAAGCTATAAGTACTTTCCCACAGTTCTACCAAACAGAGCCAGTGCCTCTTTTTAAACTGAGAATACAGCACATCTAAATGCACAGATGTGGCTATTTTCAATTACAAAAAGGAAACAATTACCCAAATATGGATGACACAGGGTTACTGAACTATGTTTGGTAAATCCGAACTTGATGCAACTTCCCCTGGCCATGTTACCCAATCCCACCAGCCCGTTAAGATCACACTTATGAATTCCTTACTTCCCCATTGAATTTATTTTATTCTTGTGGATGCCAGCTTAGACATACATATTGAGATGAATGAAGCAATTAGGTAGTTTTTGGTTCACTGGAATGGAATGATTATTCCATTAAACTATTCATTCCTTCCTATGTTTGGTTTGCCAAAAGAAATAATGAAAAATGCATTGAAATAGAATTATCATTCACCATTATAAGGGAATGGTCATTCTATAAGAGAGTCTAAGGAATGGCCAAATAGAGCATTAATGCTTTAGATTAAATATTGGGTCCGTGATGCTTTCCATTCCTATCTTGGACATATCCTTGCATGCTAATGACCTCAATATATCTGTGTAAAATGATTAGGAATATGTGAGAAGAGCATTGGGATTCTAATTATTTTGATATTATCTCCGTCTTAACAACAGCCCATAGGAACCCCTCTCTAAAACCTACTACCACATGGCAATTTTGAAATTCATTTGAAGCTGGTACATCATTACTTATTTTCAATCATCTCATTCATAAAACTCGACTTTTGCAGGGAGTTTTAAGAGACCTTTCGAAGGTTCCAGCAGGAGGAATCCAGGATCCTACTGTAAAGGCTACTGAACAGGTATGCACTTTTTCCAATGGTTGTTAGTCCTTGGTGAAATTTGTGCAGGGTGATTTGATTTCTTTGTATTTTTCCTTTTCTCATGGATATGTTACAGAGTGAGGGTGAAGCTAATGACTCGGATGCCATAACCTCTGCAGCTGACATCTTGAATTCTACTAATGGTGATAACCCTGCTGTTAATGGTGAACGGTAAGTAACAAGTTACTTTCCTTGCAGTAATGCAACGCCAGCTGTCAAATAAGTGGGAAATTTCTATGTAATAACTCAGATTTTTTAGATAGCCTTGTACATATAATCGAGTCCTTCGATTGATACATAAGCTTTTTTTGGTAACTTTGTAATGGTCTTTTATCCATGATAGGTATGGAGCTTGATTGGGACATGTAATATTATTTTGGGAACTTGTACACATGGGTGGAGCTATGCATGAAGTAAAGGGTTCAATTGAACCCACTGAACTATGCATTTTTTTTTTAAGAATTATGTACTACTATATAAAACATGAGAGGTTTTCATAAATTGACACCATTAAAATTGTTCCAAAAAAAAAAAAAAGATTTATCAACAACAAAAAAATAAAAAACTTGTTTAAAAAAAAAAAATTTAATTTTATGTGTATCATATTTTTGTACAATTTTTTGTTTAGCATGCTTAACTATGAATGGTTAAATATGAATATGAATTTAAATATGAATGAGATTTGTATGGATACCATTAATTTATAACAACTATTGTGTATGTCACACATTATATATCATGTAAAAATATGGTGAGTGTAGCCTTATTAACATGATATTTAGGCCAAGTTTGGAAAGACTAAAAAAGTGCACTTTTTGTCTTTTTGAACTAAAAAAGTGAGGTTGAAAATATGGATGTTTGGGTTAACTTTTTGACTTTTTATTGAAAAATGTGTAATAAAAAATTGTAAAAAAAATAAAAAACTTGTTTAAAAAAAAAAAATTTAATTTTATGTGTATCATATTTTTGTACAATTTTTTGTTTAGCATGCTTAACTATGAATGGTTAAATATGAATATGAATTTAAATATGAATGAGATTTGTATGGATACCATTAATTTATAACAACTATTGTGTATGTCACATTATATATCATGTAAAAATATGGTGAGTGTAGCCTTATTAACATGATATTTAATATCATGATATCATTTTTTTATTTTATTTTTTTTGTGAATAATGAGATAAAAAAAATTGACAAATTATATTGTTAGTTCTGGAAGTTTACGGCTTGTGTCAATTTGGTCTTTGATTTTTAATTGTAATACATTTGACGTTAAATTTATAAATTTGTGTCAATTAAGGACAACCAATGGCACTCAGTTTTTTGACAGAAATTGATCGTGTGAACGACAGATGACTATGTTTCGAGGGCAAAATGGATTTTTCACTTTTCTTTTTGCTTTCCCCATCTTCTTCCTCTTCAACATATAAACCACCATAGATCTCATTTACTGGCCATTCCACCATCACAAAAACAACACCGTACGCCACCACAATACCATTCCACAACACCCTTTTGCCATGCACCACCACAAAACAAGACCCTCCTGCCACCCACTGCCATTTCACAGCACCTTTTCACCACTCTACCACCATTTAACAACACTCTTCTGCCACCCACAACCACCAAACAACACTTCTCACCACCCCTCTACCCCACCCACCATCAAACAACACAACTGCTATGTTGCAGACCTTTGCAGAACATGAAACAAACAAAAGAAATTTGTAATCCTTTCATCAAACCGCTAGTGGGCAAAGCTTGTGAATATTGAACGAACATCTTGTTCTCAATTTCTTCAATCTATGTGTAAAACAAAAGTTAAAAATGTAACAGGAATGGAGGACAAGAAGCAAAACAGCAATGGAGAATTTTATAAAAAAAATTCTATGTTGTGTATGTATTAATGAAGAATTCCAAACAAAACAAAAATGAAATAACAAATGGAGGCAACGATGGAGTCTAGGGAAAGGAGCAGAGGCAAAAGCTAGGAAAGGGGAGGGGAGAGAGAGGATGGTGAAGGTGAGGGGGGCGACGACGAGATGTTGGGGAAATGGAGAGTAGCGTCTAGGCAATCTGAACAAGAGGAAGGGAGCGGCAAGGGCGCTGTGGAAAGGGAAAGGGAACGGTGATGAGGTAGTGGTGGTAGAGAAGGAAGAGATTGGGTTGGAGATGGAGGAGAGAGATTGTGTATGGCTTTGATCGGGACAAAATTTTGGGAAGCTCTACACTCCGGTTTAGATGGAGATGTATTGATTTGGTGTAGTTGAGTGTATTGAAGCATCAAAATAAGTAAATCTAATTGATTGAAAGAAAAATGTGTATGAATTGATAATTTTGCCCTTGAGGCATGGTCATATGTAATTAGTTGAAAGAAAGAAATGTGAATAAATTGACAATTTTGCCATTAAGACATAGTTATGTGTCATGTACGTGATCAATTTCCGTGAAAAAAAAATCGTGATAGGTTGTTTTTAATTGACACAAATTTGAAAATTTAAGATTAAATGTGTTACAATTAATATGAACTTTTCATTTCAAAATAAAATACTTATGAAAATACTTTTTACTTATAACATCATTTTTGTGATTTTTTTGGGTATAAATTTTATATAAAAAAAAGAAGGAAAGAAAAACAGACACACTATCGAAAAATTATTTGGTATTTGTAGGGTGTCACATGTCGATGCTCTTTACCAATTACAGTACATCATGTCCCTTTCTGTTCTCTAATAACTCAACACAAAATCATGGGTCTTATATTTTCTATCAATCACAATACTCCTAGGGCATCATGTGTAGGGGTGTAAAAAAAATCGGTGGAACTGGTAAACCAATCCAATCCGATCTAAAGCGTCAATTTAGTCTAGTTTTTATTAGTTTCGATTCTGAAAATGATGAAAACATTTAAATTGGTTGGGTATTCGGTTCTAAGATTTTGGTTACGGTTCCAAATGGAATCACTCCGTGACATATTTATTTATTTATTTATTTATTATTATTATTATATGTAAAAATTAAAATATAAAAAACCATTTATAAGATTTGAACACTAGCATTCATTGTAAAATTGATAATCAAATTAATTATCATTAATTTGTTTACAAATATAAAATATATATCATGTTTGTTGTTATATAAAATTTATAGAATCGTAAAATCGAAATCAAAATGAACAAAGTCAATTTTTATGATTCAATTCCAGTCCAATTTCACAAGTTAACAATTAAGTTACGATTTTAATTTTTTTAAAACCAATTGTTACGATTCGATTATTAATTTCCTCTAAAATCGAATCAATTCAATTCGTGTATATCCTTAACCACGTGACCGTGGAACCATCAAATAATTTATCCACACTACTTCACGTGACTCCTCCCACCCAACCAAATCCAATCTCCACCATCCCCCATCCAAGGGCCTCGATTTCCTCTCTCCATTTATCTTAAAATCCAACACATACAAAAAATAAATAAAAAAATAAAAAACCTTTCGTCTCTGTGCTCTCTCTCGGAAGCTCAATCCGAGCCTCTCTCCTCAACGAAACACAGTCTTCCTTTAATGCCCCAATTCCATTTTCAGACGTTTCATTTCATTACACACACACACATATATATACACACACTCACTTGCATGCACAACACATTTATGTATATTTATATGTGAATTCAATGCTCGTTTAGGGTTTTATTTCACTTTCACCATCCTCGTAGTTTACTTCATTCTTTTTATGAATTGGTCAAGTAATTGGAGTTAGGGTTAGGGTTAGGGTTAGGGTTAGGGTTTTACTTTGTATTCCTGTTCTCTCTTTGTTCACTGAGAGAGGGCGAGATCGATATATACATACACTATATATATAGATAAATAGAACCAGAATTATATACAGAGAGAGAGAGAGAGAGTGATGTTGTAAGAATGGAAGCAGTGAATCCGATTCCACTTCAAGCAAGGCCCCATGAAGAACTTGAAGATCACATGCAGGTATCATCGATACGGGTCGATGAAGACGGAGGAGGAGGAGGGTTCGAAGCCGATGATGTCAGTGGTGGTTGTGCCGTGGAAGTGCAAGTGAACTCTGTAATCCTCCCTGTGAATAACAACCCTGTTGCTCTTCCCTCTCCGACGAGTGAGCTTTCCATTTCATTCGAAGGCGAGGTTTATGTATTCCCCGCGGTCACTCCCGAAAAGGTTAGTTTTTTTTGTTTTCTTGGGCATTTTCTGATTGTGAGGAGATTTTGGATTTTGATTTCACCTACTCAGTTCTATATAATTGCTCGACGATTGCTATATTCGTGCGTATTCGAATTTGTTATGTTTAATGTGAATTGAATTCTCATGTGCTTCATTAGTAATTTTGTTGTTTTTGATGAGCCTAGGCTGTGTGTATAACAATATTGGGAAATATTCCTAGCAGTTGTTTGTGTGTTAAATTCCCCTAGTTTGTTTGATAATAGGATGGTTTTTATAGCGAGTAATCCTCATTATGCAACATCTTCTTATAGCATGAACTGACTAGAGAAGATTTTCAGTATAGTGGTTTTAATCGGTTTCTTTCCCCAACTGCATTGATCATTTGGTATATGCGTAATAGGGTCTCACTATCTTCTAGGTTAATGCGGATCATGTTGATGAAGGGGAAAGCAAAGCAGTGTGTTTCTCCATGACTTTGTGCATTCAATAAGGCTACAGACACGGAACCAATCATGTAAAATAATCCTAATCCTAGCCATGCATATTCAGATGGTGGAGCCGGTCATGAAAGAAACAATTGCTTCACCTATTTTTATGTGGTTGATTATGTGACCGTAGACTTATTATTATTAAGGCATATCAATTTGGAATTTGTCCTGAGTTTCGAATTCCATGGGTTTTGGTCAGGGGAATCTTGGGATTAATGCTACACTAATATTGGAGGACTCTTTTAAAACTTGATGTGGAAGCAATATAAATTTTTCCCATGCTGTTTGGTTGGGATGCCAATATAATAGGCCCATTATAACATGTAAAACTTTTAGTATTTGATTTCTATTGCTGAAATATTTAAGTAATGAAACTTTTAAATTTGAAAACTATAAGATAAATAAAAGTGTTAATTGAGAATGAATATGAAAATTATATTTCGTTGTGTGTATTCAGTATTTAATGACCAGTCTCTCTAACTTAAAATTAAGATTTTTAATTTCATTTCGAGTCAATTTCCATATTTAAGTGGTAGGTAATTTTACATTACCAACACTCTTATTTGTGAACCACTAAATGCATTTAGTTTTAAGCCTTGTTATCGAACAAGGCTTTTAGTTGAAGTTGTGTGTGCTTGGTTTTTCAAGTATGTGGAGGACTATGAATGGGTTCTCTACCATCATTGCATTATCTGATCTCCAGTCTACTGTGTAAAGGTGCCGGAAATATTTTTATGTGAGGGAGGATTTCAACCTTTTATTGCTGTTATGGATAGGGATGATATCTTATGAAAGGAGGACTGCTTTGTAGAGATTGCCATCGTTGATGTGTCGGTTACATTTTGCTTGCAAACCATACCAAACTAAGTCTTATGTACCAGTCAAGTTGGGTTGACTGCATGAATCCTTTGTTGTCATTTGCTCTGTCAAGGTTATATGCTCAATTAAACTAAATAAATCCATGTCATCTTTTTACTATTGCATCCCATGTCAATTGAGGTCTTTTTCTTCCCCTAATGTTTCTATTTATGATGTAAAACTATCCTAGCATGTTGTTTCTCAACTTATCTTCAAATTGGTACTTCTACCATTTCATGAATATATTCATTTCAAATTTGTATGTCCTATATTACCACAATCCGTCTAAGCATATTAATCATAATGAAAATGCTTTTGGAAATACATGATTTATTTTCTGAATTAATGGAGAGGATGTGCTGTTGCTGCAGTGATTTCATTTCAGTTGGCTGGGTTTGACTAGATGTTTGAGTGTGAGGATAACTGTTTTCCCCTGCAAGTGGTTGTAATGTGTTCATTTATGATTTAACTGCTTCCATGGCTGAATTTTTCAGCATGTCACAACCTAGTTCCCCCCATGATACATAGGGCGTTGCGAACTTAGTATGGTTTAATAGTGACATTTATTAAATTGTTGAACAAAATATGCTGCTTGGGTATCTGTTCACATTTTACATAAGACAGGTGCAAGCGGTGCTGTTGCTCTTGGGAGGGCGAGAAATACCTAATAGTGTGCCTAGCTCAGAATTTTTGTTGCAACAGAATAACAAGGTAGTCCTGTTGCAATTTCATTTTCTCCTAATAACCTTTTAGTCAATATTTGATGTTTCTATCCGCTTGGCTGCAGAGTTTAGGTGGTGCCTCAAGTCGCTCAAATATTTCTCGAAGAACTGCATCCTTGGTTAGGTTTCGTGCAAAACGGAAAGAGAGAAGTTTTGAGAAGAAAATTCGGTACTCATGTCGAAAAGAGCTTGCTTTGAGGTGAGTTGAATCTGCAACATTGTTAATAATTTCTGCCTACTTTCCACATTAGAGGAAATTGATTAGTAAATGATGTGCTTTCTTACTCGGACTCAGGTTCAGTTGTGGGTGTGTCCTAGAGTCCAAATTCCCTCACCCTTAATCTTTAAGAAAATAGCGATATGTATCCAAAGTTGGGTATGGGTACGTGAATACATCAACATTTAAATATATTATATATAATTTAATTATATAGCGTAAGATATTTTTTAGGAATTTACTTAAACTTAACGGATTTAGGGGGAAAAGGGATTTCTATCTGTCATCCATGTGTGAGACTAAAAAAGTTTTTTTACTATCAAATGTGAGCTTCTTCTTATTCAAACATCATGAAAATTTTGAGGACTGAAGTATCTCATTTGGTATGTTCTCATACCTTTACCCTTGTTACGTTTGGTGAACATGGGTACAGTTGGAGAAATTAAAGATTCCATATAATACTGATGATGTGATTTGCAATGGATATCTGTCTGACTAAATCAGAAATCATAAGGTGTCTGAAGAACGTTACAAAACTTTCTGATCATAATATGATGGTGTTTGCAAGATGGACTGTTACTGCAAGTTTTTAATTAAAAAATTATCAAGACTTTGTTTAGCGATTGATCAATGGCTTGTGTAAATAAGTGGTGTGTATCCTGGTGAGGATATTTCTGTAATTTATTGGTTATGTTGGCTAAATATAAATATGATCAATCCACTCTCTAGGGTTGAATCAACTTCTCTTCAGTTTCTCAATTATGCTAACAGTAGATAACACGTTCAATCTAATATTGATGTTTAAAGTAAAGATGTTTTTGGATGCTATTCCCCATAATATCACTATCAAAGGGCAAACAGAGCTCTTCTCAGATGCTACTAAGTTCAACGAAATTCTAGATGTCTTTTGTATAGCAGCCCACATATGTTGTTTTATTTGAAACAAATGATTTGTAGTTGTCACGAGTGTCACTTAATTTCTCAATTGTTGTAGCCTGGAAATTTTTGCTGTTATTGTTGTTATCATCTCTAGTAATCTTATATTGGTTTTGTCAATTTCACTAATCTTCTAGGATGCATCGTAAGAATGGCCAATTCGCATCAATAAAGAAATTGGCTGATGGTGACTGGCATCCAAGTGATGGCACCCCTCCCCCAGTATCTGCGTGAGTGAAGCTTACTCTTCTTTGCTAATTGAAGTTAATATTAACATCATATTGTCGAATTTTATACTTTATTTAGCATTATTGTTTTTAACATTTTGTAATTTACTGTAATTATCACATATCATTAGATAGATACAAATTTTAAATAAGCTGTGCTAGCTTACAAATATGAAAATTGTATTAGTTTTGAAGTAGGATATATAAAGGCTAATGTTCTTTTATTTTCTTGACAAATCTCACTTCATTACATCTAATCTGTACTAATGACGTTATATTGGATTGAATTTTATTGATTCGTTAAATGCACGCAATCTCTTTGAAATTATATTGTATAATTTGTATAATGTTGTGTCATATTTGTGTTTGAAATTTTTTGTCCATTATGACCAACCGATTATTAATTGATTTATGTTCCAGTAATTACAACATGGTGGTCTTTTTTCCACTATAATGGCTTGGTGCTAGAGTAGCTCTGTTTCTAATCTCTCTCTCTCTCTCTCTCTCTCTCTGGGTATTTTGTATTAGTGTACGTAAATGTCAACATTGTGGGATTAGTGAAAAGTCTACTCCAGCAATGCGTCGGGGCCCCGCGGGTCCGAGAACTCTTTGCAATGCTTGTGGGCTTAGGTGGGCGAACAAGGTAGCTAAATATGTTCGTGTTTGCTTGCAGTTATTTATGCTAGGTATAATTGTTATTACATTCCAGGACATTTCTTTACATCATCAGTGCATAAGTTCTTTTTTTCCTTTCAAATCATAAAATATTGGGAAGACCTTTTTCTTTGTGGATTGGAGAAGGCCAACTGTGTTAAGTTAAAATTAAAAAAACTATGAGGAGGCCCAACGGTTTTGAGAAAAAGATATTGAGAACTGCCAACAGACACACAAAATAACAAATTCAGGAGAGTATAAATTGTGAATATTGGCTTATTTGGTTTTACTGTGGCTATTACTTTATCCAGTTCATTATATGGCTTGAACTTGTATCATGTTCATATCTTGCTACATGCTTTGTTGACTAAATCTGATGTCTCCAAAACACTATTCAATCTTCCTCTGACGTTTTGTTTAAAAAATGAACTTTATTTATTGATTTAGAATGGCGGTTTTTGAAGTTAGAACAAAGAAGGAATCACTCGATTTCCTGGATAGAATAATATATTTCTGTAGATTAGATATCATGCAAATACTTTCTATAGCAGTAGAACTTTGCTCTTATTCATTTACTCTGTATTTGTGTCTCATCAAATTTGTAATTTTTTTAAAAGTTGCCATGATGTTATGTTGGATTTGTGTTAATCCCGTTTCATCCTTAATTGTATTTCAAGGGGACCTTGAGAGATCTTACGAAGGCAGGAAGGATTTCTTCTTTCAACGAAAATGAGTCGGTATGACTTTTTGTTGATACTGGATGGAGCAAAATACTACAGGATTTTATACATTGTTAAAAATTGATTCATAGCCATTCAGGATGATTGCCTATATTTGTTCTTTGCCATTTCTTTTTGTGCGGGAATTTTTTGTTTTCATTCTTGCACATTGCTTTAATTATGATGTTTTCTCAACTGAAAAGCTTGTGCTTGTTGGGATCTGGCAGATTCAATCATTTGCAAAACAGATCAAACGTAGTTGGAGTAACTATATAACTTTTGTTTATCTTCATGCCTTAATCAGGGAACTCCTCTTGGTGTTGAGCTTGTGGAAGCGGAAAATCTGTATCATAATCAGAATGAGCAGGTAGGATGGCTGGAGATTAATCATGATGCAAAGATGTATCAGTTTACATGATAATTGTGAATCTTTTAATGAATAATTGTTACATCTCTGTTAGCGTGTTTTGTATTGCGTCTTCACTGACTATAAGAACCTGCTGAAGAAAACTTCAAAGCTGCTTTTCATGTTATTTAGTTTTTCTTTCAATCGGAAAATATTATATTGTTTCTGAAGCAAATTGGTCTGAGTATTAGCTGATGGTTCATGTTATGCTAGAGTATGGCATGACTGTTATTTTCTCTTGTTGATTTAAACAGGGGAGCCCAGAAGAGATGAAACCTTTGGCAATGGAGTTAGGGAATCCTTCCATGATGCAGAATGAGCAGGTATGCTCTCTCTTGGAAACTGGAATAAAAGATTTACCGCTGTCTACATCATTGGAGACATTATCTCCAAATCTCTCCTTCCATTTGTATATATTTATGTTAACAAAGTTAATATCTATTACTATTATAGAATGCCAAAGAAGAAAATTGTGATTAGAGAAGAATACTGTGATTAGGTCGTGGAGTATCTTCTGACATTTGACCAAGTATTAGCAAAATTGTTATTATGTTGTGATGCGTCAAACCAATGAGGCAGCGGCAACATGAATGGGGAAGGAGTCTATATCACTCACAAATGTAATTAATTTTTAGTGAGAGGATATTTAAGTGATGGCTTATTGTTGTACTTGTGTTTGATTTTGTTAAGAAAAGTAATTTTTTGGAATCGCAATCCACAGTGCTGGTGAAATTGGAGTTTGTTTATGGTGCTGAATGGGCAATTTAATAATGTTTTGCAAATAAATTTTAAAGAGTTAGTGAGCCATAAAATGTGGGATAGAATTCTTTAACGCTGTTTGTATTTTTCTAGACATTATATTATTTTTTAGTATATGAAAATCAGAAAATATTTTGAGATAATATTAGGTTAGTGCTTAACATTTTGATATCGAAATATACAATGACTGAGCCTGGGGGATATATGTTGCTGAGTTTCAGATTGTTCATTTCTTTGCTTATTACAGTTAAGAGATTATGCTCACATCTTGTTACAGTTTAAATGATAAGTCTATTCATTCGATGTTCAGGATTCGCTGGAAGCCACAGAAGCTGTTACTGACAATTCAGCAGTCCAAGTGGAAAATTCATCAGCCAACCTTGATGATCAGGTATTCTTTCATCAAGTTTCTTGATCCTTATTGTCTAGGGAATTGTTTCTTTTCTACTGCCATTTTTTTCCTTCAAACGTTTTGCGTGCATCATTTTTTTTTTCCCTTCCAAGGTCCCATTGACCTATTAAGTTTCCAGTGTCATCTTCCTTTGTTTTGGAGTAAAATATGCATTTAATATGCTGCCTATCCTATGATATTGTTGAGACTCAGTGTGAAAGTTAATGGGAGAAATTTTCCTCTGGACCTTCATTGAGAAACATCTCTCATCAATTATTTAGTTTCTAGTGCAGAACAGGAAAAAAATATAAATAAATAAATTTTTATATTTTTAAAGCTACGTTTGTAGAATTTTCTCATAAAGCAGAGTTTGTGTCAAGTCTGGAGGCCTTGAAGAGCTCCCTGTCTTTTCTGAACTAGTTGGAGGTTACGTTGTTGCTAGTTATAGCCATTATGGTTAGAAGTAAATGGCCAGTTTATCCAAAGAGCAAACCTCGAGGAGGGTTATTTGAAGTAAGACACGGGACATAGTAACGACTACAGGGAATGGAATAAAGAAAAAAGGACAATGAGAGAAGAATCCAGCGAATGCATAAATTTCATTCAAGAGCTTTGTATAAAGAATCAGGGGTCAACCAAAAAGCCCAATATAGAATATAATCTATGAAAATAGAGATCTGCACATTGAAATTTTTGGGCTTGAAGATGGATTGTGGTGTGAACTCTGTGAAGACCGAATAGCTGTAGAGCAAATTGTGTAGTGAGACTTGCCAGATCCCAGAGTGTAATCAACACCCCCAGGAAAACCAGAATGGGAGAAATGAGATGTCAAACCAGAACCTAAAACTGGGAGTTTGTCTTATTTTCTACTCCCAAATTTATTTCTTCTCCCATTTATTCCCAGAATATAACATTTTTGCATTGCCAATTTCTCAAGCTTTCACCTTCTTTTTTGTTTTTGGTTTGATTTTGTTTGACATCAATTTAACATTATTCTATATATTTTCCTGAGTTGGCTTTACAGTTCATTCAGGGTTGAGATGCTTTTTTTTCCCCCTGAAAGCTGATAGGAACTTAATATATTTTATCCTTGAGACCTCAGTGACATGAATGTGTGAATTTTAAAATTACAACATTTTTTTTATCCGCTTGTTAACACTTGCAGGAAACTCTAGATGAGCTTGCGAGCGCATCAGGGACAGAATTTGAGATTCCAACAAACTTCGATGAGCAGGTATTTGTTTTTTGAGCAACGTTAACCCAAACCAATTGGTCACATTTAGCATTTGGATATCAATAATGTACAGGTTGACGTCGATTCCCACATGGTGACTGGTTGGCCTGGGACCTGATTTTGACCTCTAATTTAAGTTCAGAGTTCTTTCGTGGTTGGGGGAGGAGAGGGAATGCTATAGCTGTTTCTCTGCTGACATTCTGGGAGATGGTTTTGTTAATAATGCCTGTGTATCTAGCTTGATGTTGTCCTAGTAAATACCCTTGCAAATATATGACATGTGATCAATTTTCTGCATTATCTTTTATTTGGGGGGTGGGGAAAAAAACACTTTGACTTTCCTTTATCACCTTTTTTTCCAAGGGGATTTTGTGAATATCATTGGCTGAAATGGAAAGCTTGTTTCAAAGCTACCCTTTGTTATATGATCCTTTTCTGCTTCAGCATTCATAGGTTTTCTTGGAATGGACTGCGTGTTCATTGTTCCATTGACCTGATATATTCTGAAGATCCCAGAATGAATGTTGATGTGTTTAACTGAGCATACTAGCAGAATTTGTTTATTTGGGCTACACTTCTGTTGTAGCCGCTTTTGATTTTCGCATTAATTATGTTCTAAGACTGATAGCAGATCGGTGTCTAGAAGCAAAAATGAAAAAACGAATAAAAAATTAAATTTCCAACTCACAATACGGTAAAAAATGTTGTGATAAAATTTTAAAAGAAAATTGAAAAATTAGTTGTAATACATTTTTTAAACGAAAAGGATTTTTCAAAAACGCAGAAAATATAAATAGAAACCTGGGGAAAAGAATAAAAAAAAATTCAAAAAAGAAAATGTATGTTCGAAAAAAGAAACCAAAAGGTGTTTTAAAAAAGAAAATTTGTAAATGTTGTAGTTGTAACGAAGGTTACTATACACCTGAATGTTCAAAAAGGGAAAAAAGTGTAAAGAAAATGATCAAAATTTTTAAAGAACAAGATTTTGAAATAATATATGGCGAAGAAATTTCTGATAAAGAAGAAATCTTATATGAAATTTCTAGTGATGAAAAAAGTTCAAATGAAAAAATAATCTTTATGATGATTAATATAGATAGTTAAGAAATATCTCAAGAAGTAGATAGTATATTTCAAGAAGAATTATAAGCAATTCGACTTGGAGATGTAATTGGAAAAGCAAAAACTTTTACCAACGAAGAATCAGCAAAATTTAAAAAAATGTATAAAGTTACTGTTCCAGAAATTTATGAACTTTCAAAATTTAACTTCTTTTCAGCAAGAGTGTTTGAACAATACAGTGGTAACACTCAAGCAAAATGGCCAGAAGAATGAAATATTGATATTCTTTTTTTGATAAGAAAAAGGTTGCAAGATGGAAAAAGAAATATCCTGAAATTCAATATATTCATATTTAATTCAGGTAACCTTAATAGCCTTATTTTGTCAGGGATAGATATTTCTATTTTGACAGTAATTTTTGATAATAGATTTTTCGGCCAAATGAAAGCAATCATTGGAGGAATCCTAAATGATCCTAATCTTGAAGACACAGTTAGAATAAAAATTAAAACACAAGAATTAGGAATGAAATCAAATTCTCATGATTTGGCTATTCGTTGAAAAACAATTCACGAATTGATCAAATTTCTTGAAACAAAAACGAAATCAAACAATAATAAAATTGTTGAAATCTTTGAACCAATACCATTTGACACGGTAATATAACAGCGTCTAATGAATTAGAGCGATTTAGAAGTCCCTCAATAATGGTTAATCTATGACCTAGTGGGACAAGGAGAATCTTCTAAAATAAAAAATTCTGCACAATTACAAATGCAAGCAATAGGAAAAAATTTATATATTGAAAATACTGTTTCAAAAATTAAAACATCAACTTCTGTATTTGAAAAAGATTTTCCTAACAAATCATTTTCAAAATTAAGCATTGGAGACTCGAGTAATAATTCTAATAAAAAATCTATTACTTCAAACAATATTCAGATTCCTACTTTCCTAGGAACAAGAAGTCAATTTAAACATATTAAGTCTGCATATATGTATCATTTTTAAACAAAAAATGATTATATTATTTTTTCTCCTAGCCAAGGAAAAATAAGATTATATGTGTTATGAATATTTAATTTTACAAGTTATAAACCCTATAACCTCAGTGTTCTCATAGGCATAGGAGCCACAATCAACTCATATAAATGGAATGTCATATCAAAAGAAAAATGGACATTAATAAAACATCTAATTTTGGTTACTGAAATTGATGACAACCATACTTCCATACAATTCAAGGCTAAAAATATAGCTATTTGATTAAATGATAGCAAGTTCATTATACTAAAAATTCTATGTTTTCCTAATATGTATAGAGATTTCCTTCTTGGAAATAATTTTATATATAAATATCTTCCAATGTAAATGCACGAAAAAACCATTTCATTAAGCATAAACAATGTCTTAATTCATATTCCGTTGTTAGAACAATATAAATACATTTGTGATAAAGAGTTTGCGCCCGTTCCGCGTGGTGATTTGACCCCCATTATCAAAACCATTGATAAATCATATTGAATTTATAAAATTTTAGTGAACATCCATTAAAACTATGGCAACGTAGTCTACGTTATTGTAGTTTGAAATTAAAAGGCCCTAATGTTATCATTAGAGTAAGACTAATGATCTATACTAGGCAAGATATATATGAATTTGACATTCAACTCCAGAAACTTTTAGACAAAAAGTTAATCAAAGAAACTAGAAGCCCTCATTCTAGTTCAGCTTTTATGGTAAGAAACCATACTGAAATAAAAAGAGGAAAAACCCGAATTATAGTCAACTATAAATGGCTAAATGAAAATTTAGAATTTGATGGATATTTTATTCCAAGAAAAGATGTTTTGATTAACTTAACCAAATGATCAAAAAATTTTAGCAAAATTGATTGTAAAAGTGGATTTTGGCAAATTCAATTGACTGAAGAGTCAAAAAAATTAACAGCTTTCAGTACCCCTCGAGGACATTACCATTGGAATGTCATGCCCTTTGGATTAAATATAGCATCACAGGTATTTCAACGGTAGATGGATACAATTTTTAAAGATCTTAAAGATTGTTGTATAGTTTATATTGATGATACATTTATCTTCTCTAAAACCAATGAGGAGCATAAGAAACATTTAAAATTACTTTGTGAAAAAATCCAAAACAATGAATTATTTTGTCTCCAAAAAAGATTAAACTAGAAATAGAATCAATTGAATTTTTTAGAATAATTTTAGACTAGAAAGGTTTAAAATTATAGGAACATATTTTGTCCAAAGTACGAGATTTTCCTTATACTCATGAAAATATGACACAATTACAGAGTTTATTAGGCATTTTAAATTATGGATGAAATTTTATCCAAAATCTTTCAAAAATAGAAATTCTTTGGTTAACTAAATTAAGGGAAAATGTTATTTTTGAATGGACAGCAGAAGATGTTGCTTTAATTAAACAAATTAAAGAAAATGTTAAAACTTTACCAGATATTTATCTTCCTAAAGCGGGTGATAAATTAATTTTAAAAACAGATGCCTCAAAAGCATGCTGGGAATGTGTTTTTAAAGCAATACCAAGTAATTTATTGCATGATAAAGAGAGACCTTTTATCAGAAAATGAGACTAGACCCAAAAAAATTCAATACCCATAAAATTACAAAAAAAAAAAGAATTAATTTGTGGATATAATTCTGGAACATTTAAACCAAATGAACAGAAATATATTATTTTTGAAAAAAAATTACTTACAATAAAATTGGTAATAAAAAGTTTTCATATTTACTTAACCCCAGAAAATTTTATTGTACACACTGATAATAAGACAGTAAGAGATTTCTTGATCAATAAAAAACCTATTGAGCAAGGAAGAAGATTAGTCCGGTATAATAAAATTTCTGAATATACTTTTGAGGTAGAACATCTTAAAGGTACTAATAATTTCTTGCAGATTTTCTTAGTAGAAATTGTTTCAAAAAATTAAATTACTAAACAAGTAATTTTAATTTTTGTAAAAGACCTCTAAACGAAGAGGAAACAATGGATAAAGGTAAACAACCCGCTCAAGGAGATTGGGTGACAATTACTTAAAAAAAATAATCCCCAGACAAGAAAGGGTTTATGTTGTATTCGTAGGAAAACAACATGGAATTTACATAGACTGGAATGAATGCAATAAGCAAGTTTGCGGATTTCCAGGAGCCCATCATAAATCATATGATAGCATGACCAAAGCTAAAAAAGTTTTTTACAGTGCACCAGTTATGCCTGTTTATCAAAAGAATTTTTGTCAAATGAGAACTAACCCAATTCCAATTAATATTCAGACATCTAAACCAGATGAATCTGAAATAAAAGATTTTTTCAACCCTGGTATATCTAGAGAAATTTATACAGAACTCAATGGAGTTTGGAAAACTCACATTGTAGATAACAAAGTGAAATTTTGAAAATACATGAGAGTTCTGGCCAACAAATTAGCTGAGCAAACAGCTAAATTAAAAGATTTGTAAAATCTTTGTTTCAATATCCTTAAACAAATGAATTGGAATTAAGATTTTAATTTTGAAAAAATAAACAATTTTCTTCAGCTATCAAACCTCATATCAGATGAGTTTTCTGATCCAGTTTTTGAACAAATAAAAATAATTTGTCTTTTTGAAAAAGCAAGAACTTTGTTCCCAAAAGAAATTTTTTTATTAATAAAAAATCGAGTTGAGAATCATCGTGATAAGATTAAACAAATCTTAGAATGATCTTATGATAAATTAAATTTTAAAGATGAAATTTCCAAAATAACCATCATGGCAAATCATGACATGAGGTATTTTGAATATGTAGATTGAGGAATAACTAATCAAGTTATTTTTAAAATTTTAGATCCAATCAAATGGATAGAATATCCAATGATCATCAAAGCAATGCTCTCATGGATAGTAAAAGGCTTCTAATGGAGTAAATATTTTACTTTCTGGATCTCCAACATCGTTGGTTGGTGGGAAAAAGAACATTTTTTTCAACCATACCAGATTTGGTATCTTAAAGAAACTGAAGATTTTGAATTTGAAGATGATTATTTAGATGAAGATCGCCGGCGAGAGCGATTGGAAAATATCCAAAAACTTTCTTTGACAGAATATTGGATAGACAGTCTAATATCTATTTCACAAGCAACGTCTAATATCCATGGCTCAGCAAAATTGCCATTCATGGTCACAGATGGTAGAATATTATTTGTAACCCATTTTCCCATAACATATCAAAGGTCTCCTACACAAATTAATGAGGCTCTCTTGACATGTTAATAAATCTCAAAAAGAGAAAAAAAATGGATCTTCCGTTGGAACTAGCCATAACCGCGGATGATGTAGAA